TACCCATAATAAGAAATGCGCCATAATTCCCATAGTTTAGGGTCCTTAAGGTAAGCAGGAGTTGTATCATCAACAGTATCCACTTGCAGTCCCGATAGATTCATACGGGCATCATGCCTCTATACGATACCTCAAAGCCTTTCTTCTATATGATACCTTATAGACCTATTCTAACGAATAACTAACGCTCACAAAACCCTTTCGAAACACCGCGCAACTCCGAAACACTCTGTGCAGACCCTTATATTATAAGCCCCGAACCTCCCTGCAGTTATTAAGTCATCCTACTTGCAAACCCCAATAAATCCCACCCAGGCGCAAGCCTTAACAAATCTTAAACACTCAAACGCCCATCCCGAAACTCGCAGACCCTACCCTGAACCCCCCTTAAAGGAATCCTTAAAGGAACCATAGAGAGCCCTTCAAGGGACCCTTAAAGGAATCTTTAAAGGAAGGAACCATAGAGAGCCCCCCCCCCAAAAAAAAAAATAAATATCGCCTCAACCCCTAAAAATCCTGCGTTGTGAAGGCCTCCAGGCCGAAGTGGAGCAGGGCCGAGCTAGCGATCGCAGGCCTTCAGTTATAGGATCCTTAAGGGGGGGTGGTTCAAGGGGGGAGGGTACAAGGAATCCTTAGGGGAACCTTAGGGAGTACTAGGGAGAGTTAGGGATCACTAGGGTATATACCCCCCTTGGAGCCCCCTCCCTTAAGGATACTATGATTCAGGGTCTTGGTCTTGCAGCTTATGGTTCAGGGGCCTCAATGATTACCTATACTATTCTTTTTTTTTGGGGGGGGGGGGGGGGTCCTTATTATATCTGTACGGCTTATGGTTCAGGGGCCTGAATAACTACCTATACTATTTTCGGGGGTTACACATAAATCGTATACAGGCCCCAAACCCTATTCGAATTCTGAAGGACCCTTTTTTTTGTGGTTCAGGGGCTTGAGGGTTTAGGGTTTCGGAGTTTGTTCAGGCTTCAATGTTGGTTCAAGGGTTGCTAAAAGGGTTACTCGTAACACGGTGGCTTATCAGGGCTCCGGCAAGAGCTGCTGTCAAAGGATTCCGTATGGTTCCTAAAGCGTTCCGTAAACGGTTCTGAACAGTTCCTACAGAAGCCGCAACTTAAGAAGCCGTGAGCCTTGCAACCCTATGACCCAAACCCCAAGCCCTAAATCCTAGCTTAGGGTTTAGGGTAGCGGTTTAGGGTTTAGGGGTTTAGGGTATAGTATACCTTACAACCCCCAAGGCCCAAGTCCTCAGTCCTAAGCCCCTGAAGCCTCAAATTTAGCGCTGCAGAGCTTTCGCTCGGTTTTTGGGTTTGCGGCTTGTCAGAAGCTCGGGAGGCCTTAGATCCTAAGGCCATTTAGGAGTTTCCGAAAATAGGGGTACCTTATTTTGGGGTCCTTATAATATGGATCCTACTATTTAGGGTACTATATTAGGGTCCCCTAGTTTCGGAAACTCCCATTTGGGGTTGAGACTATAGCGGTGGAGAGTCTCCGGGCTTGGAGAGTTTGGATTTCAGGCTTCAGGGTGCTTTGGGGGGACTTTGGAGTTTGGGTCTTCCTGGGTTTTCGGGGTTTCGGTTTGGGGACGAGAGTGTGTCACTAATGTTAAAGAGTGACTCATGCTTGGGCTTGGGGCTCCAAGTGTGGATCTCAACATGGGCACTTGATCTTACGAAGGAAGGGACCCCGGTTGAGACGCTGATGGAAGCAACACCTTTCAAGGAGTTGAGAATATAAGCAATGATGGCTTTGGGGTGGAAGTCAAGAGGTGGTATGTAAGGTTCTATTGACAAAAGACTTGGGCTCGGGGTGTAGACTTTCAGAGGCTTTTGATTGCAGGGTGGGGCCCTCGGGCTCGCCGGTGGACAGTTCAGTTTGCTTCGGCTCGAAGGTTGAAAAGGGCTTACAATTTTACATTTTTATGGGTACTTAAACCCAATAAGGAATAAAGATGTACATACATTTTTAATCCTATCCCAACTATGAACTAGCTGAGGGGTTTAGGGTTTAGGATTCAATGGCTTCGGGACCATAGGCGAGGGCACAAAGGTTTAAAGGCGCTTGATTAGGGTTTAGGGGTTCAGGGGTTCAAGGTTTAACGGATTCGGGGTGTTTAGGTTTGTGGGATTTAGCATTTAGGATTTTTAGGTGTCAAGTTATTCTTCTCGACTTGTGCAAGTTTATGTCATGGGCTCCGTCCAATCAGGAGTTCTGATGCACGCATGCACAGCCGCTAAATGAGATGGGCCACAGCGGCTTGCCCGTGAGCACAACGTCATGGCAGACAAGGTCCTTTGAGTTTGCTGTAGCAGCCGCCCTCACAAGGCTGGCACAAATCGAAAGCCATTTTTCGTTAAGCGAGCATCACGAAGAAGTAGCTGGCGTTCGGACATCCTGCGGGGACACGCTCTTCCAGGAGCTGCACTGGCATGCGCGCACCGCGGAAATTTCAGTCAGTGGTGCTACTCGTACTACTTGAAATTTTACATGCAGGTTTACACAGCTTTCGTTCACAAAGTTGCAACCGGCATGTCCGCGGCCTTCCTGAAGGAGGGCGTGCAAAACATCCGTGCAACAGGGTCGATGGTGAACTCCATCAACACTGCTTGCGACCTGGCCGACTTGCAAAGGAGCGTCGCAGATCGCTTCGCAGACTTCAAATGTACATGCATCGAAGAGAACTCTCTCCAGTCGTCAGGTCCAATCTCACATCTGCTACATCCAACTGTCCCTCAACTTGACCACGGGCATGAAGGGCGAATGGACCCTGCAGGCTGAAGAGATGACTTGAAGTACCATAGCTTCTTGGAGTTCCGCGCCTGTGTGTCTGCCATGGCAATTAAGCACACATACCAGCACACTTTCAACACCGCTCATGGAGAGCAGTCAAACTGGTTTGCAAAGATGCACGCCTCCGCCAGCATGTCGTGGATAGCCGTCCAGGAACTATATCCACTACAGCTACATCTCAGCATCAAGATCGGCGACGAGATCACGCCTCATGCTCTCCAAGCATGCCATGAACACCTCCATCTCAAGGTCTTTCCACCGAAGCGCAAGAATGCAGTCAAGGAGCTTGTCGCTGATGGGCATCAGAAAGTCCACATTAAATGCGCAAACTCGCGCAAGCATGCAGGCATACCTCCCAGCCATGGTCGCATAAAGCCGTTCGGCCATGGTTGGTTCATGTTGGTCCATCCTCGTGATCTTCGCATTCTGGCTGTCAGATCCATGTCTGTTCCGGAGAACAATGAGATCCTCTATGAGTCGCTCCTCGAAATCTTGCCTTTGTACAAGCACCTGGATGGCCTAATCATGGACCGTGCCTGTGGCTTCTTGCCCACAGCCAAGGCTGACAAGAACCTAAAACAAATCAAATACTGGAGCATCGACGGCTCTCACGCCAAGGGCCACACCAAAGGATGTCCTTGCAACCCCATCTACACGAAGAGGTTGGCTAAAAGGTTCAAGGGGGTAAACTCCCCGGCGTGTGAACAAGTCTTTTCGTGGTTTAGAGGGTACGCACGGCTTCTCAACAGTTCCCCTATGCGCCATAGCTTCAAGGTGTTGTACTTTGTGAAGCTGCATAATTGTGCAGTGGAGCAGAAGCAGTCCATGCACCTGAATCGCTATGTTCGCTCCGGTAAGAAAGCCAAGCGACCGTACTCATGTGGCAAGAAGACAGTCGCTAAATAGCGACCTGCAGCAGCCATGAGCTAAGCTCAGAGCTACACGTGTGTGCATCAGGCAGAAAAGTCGAGCAAAATCAGCCAGAATGCATTGCATCCAAGGTATACTTCGTCATCCTCGCAACTTGGAGTGCACTATACTTATTGTAATGATATTGCCAATAAACATATCCTCAATCCCTTCAAAAGTGGGGGTTCAAAAACCCAGGCCCCACAGCAACCTGCTCTCTCTCTCTCTCTCTCTCTGTCTCTCTCTCTCTTTCTCTCTCTCTCTCTCTCTCTCTCTCTCTCTCTCTCTCTCTCTCTCTCTCTCTCTCTCTCTCTCTCTCTCTCTCTCTCTCTCTCTCTCTCTCTCTCTCTCTCTCTCTCTCTCTCTCTCTCTATATATATGTATATATTCCTAGCACAGAGGTTGATGCATTGTCGAGTGAAGAAAGCCGCTTATGGTCATCATATCAGATGACCTCAGCGAGACCCGGCTTGTTGATTGGGAGCCTGGCTGATTTGCGGACAGCCGTGGGCGCGAACTGACCCTGGAGGCCTGTGCAAAAACTCAACCATTGCAGCAACATACTAGTCTCCATCTAGTCTCCTAAGAGGCAGCCGCAGAGTTGGAGCAAAACTGGGTTTTGAGCCCAGACAGATCTTCATTATGGGCCCAAGCAACACGCGAACACGTCACACGTCATGATGAGGTGGGCCGTACCCGCTATGCAATCCGGGCTACCGGCTTGAAATGCCGGAGTTCTCCCTCGCAAGCATCATCTTGGGAGACTTTTGGATTGCCACCCCGCCGATCTCGTTCAGATGGCGGGAGGAACTTGCGGCAAGAGCACCAACACGAGTCTAAGCAGTTTGATAAATGGCGCTTTGCAAGAAACCAGGAGAACCTCCTTTGTGATTTGAAGGAGGCATGCTCACAGCCCGACACTGCTTGCACGCGGCCTTCAGATTTCTTGGGAAAGAATGTGCATTTCATGATTCAGTGCGAGACGAGGCTTTGCAGGAGGGCCCACTTCTTCGTTGGAATCGCCTGTCAATTCCTGCCCGCCACCTTGAGGTTGGCTGGACGTTTACAGGTTGTGTTCATCCAACCACACAGGTGTCCTTTTGCGGATTCCTGCTAAAAGCTGCTGGTGCCATGCCGGGACAGTCGGAGCAGGCAACGACAATGCACGCAAGAAGAAGGACAAGAAGGCAGCAGAAACAACACACACAAACACGCATGAGTCATCGTGTCTTTCCTCTGTTGGCATTTCCCCTGCGCAAGCGGAGAACTGACGACGGAGACCAGCAAACATGGGTGCAGCTGGACGGCACGTGGAACCGAAGTTCCTAGCATGTGTTCCTGGAAAAAAAGCTCCACCTTGTGACATCGGATTTGGGCTCGGGGTGTAGACTTTGAAACTTTTCGATTGCAGGTGGGGCCTTGTGCTGGAGTATGAACTTTTTGTAAACTTGATCTTCGTCAAGCCTGTAGGCCGAAAACCAATATGCACTCGGGAGTTCTGACATGCACATGGAACTAACTAGAAGTTCAGTACCACGCACTTTTGACATTGATTAAGCTCAAATTCAGGTTCCAAGCTGTAACTTAAGCCAAAGATACTTCCACTTATCGATACCCGAAGCCCTGAACCTGAAACTCTTTACCGAAGGTGAGCCCATGCTCCGTCAAACAGCCCTAGAATCCTAGAAGGGAAAAAGGCTTGTGGTCAGCAAGACTTTTTTTTGACCCTTTAACCCAATGAAACTTGAAACCAAATTTCAGTCCTAAACCCTAAACGGACCCCAAACCCTTTGTCCTATAGCAAGCGTTGCAATGACACCCGCAGTTACCCCGATGTAACCCATGTAACCGGTTTCGAAGTTCCGTCCGTCCGCCGTAGGCAAGCGGAGGAAGTGTCCCGGCGCCTCGAACAGCGCCTGGAGGCACTGTGCCTGGTTTCGTAGAGGTGCTTGGAGTCAGAGGCGCTTGAGGGTGTAGGAGGTTTAGGGCGTATAGACAGGCAGCTGTGTGTTGGTTTCATGGTTCTTAGCCCTGGGGGGGTGCCATCGTTTGGAGTCCTGATGATCCTAGTATTTGCGGACGTTACTCGGTCCCCTGTTTTTTGAATTCTACATTTTTCCAGTGAGGATGTCCCAGGGCTTTGCGTTTATAGGGATTTGGGGGTCGGCGGCTTGTGAGCTCAGTCGAGCCATTCTAGCTTGCGAAGCAAAACGCTACGACCGCCCGTGCCGCCCACCCTGCTTCATCGGACCCTCGTTTCTCCATTGGGCCGCGCGGGCCCTCGCCCGGAGGCCTCTCGGAACGCGCACGTGTTTCGCAGCCATTCCCCATGCTATGGCGCGCCGTGGACGCCCCCAGGAGGCCAGCCGGCGAGCATCATCAGCACTCGGGCGCCCGCAACCGGCCAGGTGGCGCGAGGCGATGTTTTGCAAATTTTTTGAGTGGGTTGCGGAAGCCCCCGAAGGGCACGCATCATCAGCATCAGCGGGGTTCGGCGGAGGGGGTCGCGTGCTTCGTGCAGGGCCGACGAAGGCTGAAAGGGCAAGAGGAGGGGCAAACACCAGGGTGGCTGCGTGGCTCGGCTTCAGGCTTCTACCCGCGGGCGCAACCCCTAGAATACTTTCGCTCCAGGCTACGCAATTGCGGAGAGCCGACAGTTTCTGCCGATCTGGACAGTGGCTGATGTAGGGCGTTTCGAACCAAACAAGAGAATCTAATTGCAAACCCTGATCCCTAAACCTTGAGGTTAAACCCGAAATCAAAAATCCTTAACCCCCAATCTGCAACCAACAAGTCCGTGGCCAAGAAATCCTAAGACCCACAATCCCCCAGCCTTTACGCCCTCAGAGCAAACCCCTGAAGCAATGAACCCGGTTTAGCATGTAGTGATTCAGGAAGCCCAGGCAGTTATTCCTAAAGGGGATCTTGTCCGGTTGCATCCAGGCGTTTTTCCTTCATAGCTTGACTGCAGAGTGTGCAACACCCCTGAAGACAAACGCCTGGATACCCAAAGTCTATGCATCGCAGTCCCAGAGCCCGAAAAACTTCTTTCCCCGACCAAAAACCTTTGACCCCCATTCCTCTGAACCAGCGCTTAGAGTTTCGGAGATGCCTGAAAAACGGAAACAAATACCGGCATCCGGGCAAAAAAACAGATGCAGGGTAGTCACCTTTTCACTCCGTTGGGAACCCCACGACCCAATCTCCTGATCTGTCAAACCACCGCAAAAAATTACTCCTGAAAGGAACTCCCAAATGAAGGAACTTATCGCCCTACTTGCATAGTCCCTGGATACTGCAAGCAGGCCCTCTCCACTTCCTTGAATCAATGCTCTACAGGCTGGCGATTCGGTCATCGGGCTTTGGGATTTAGGCGTTAATTGATTGATTGCCAGGACCCCCAAAGTATAGACTAAAAGTATAGGTTAATGGCCTTTTTCTGGGTGATTGCTTACTCTTGGTAGTTTAGGTATCACTGCTCGCGGGGTGTTCTCTCATGCATTTTTTGCCTGATAGCTTGACGACTTCGGGTCTTCCTGTAGGCAAATATTGTAAATGGCTGCGGTCCTGGGCTCATTTAGTAGGGCTCTATATATACTTGCACCAGGAATCCACACCTACAAACGCAATACTCAAAGAGGTGAAGACGTAACGGTACATACATCTTGACTGTAGATAGGTATGTGTATATGCGCGTGCATATGTATGTGCACTTTCTATGTATATGCATGTTTTTGCAAGTACGTCTACACATGCAGAATGCACATATATACACATGTACATGCATACATATGCGGATAAACATACATAAATGTGTGTGTGTATATATATATATATATATCATGAGAGGAGCTATCTCTGTTCAGAGAGACAGACCGAGGAGGCAAGACAATAATAAAGAACCTCCGACAACCGTGTCACTCCCCGTAGACCCCTCCCCTTACGCCTTAGAATCCGCATGGGATTGATCGAACCCTACGAAGGCGATACAGACACCCGATAGACCCCGATAGAAACCCCGGAAGCTTTATAGAAGCCAAACAAAAACAAGACGAAACGGCAAGCACAAATCCGAAGCCCTCAAACTCAACATAACACGCAGCAGCCCCTCAAATCATAAAACGTCCTTCAAACCAACAGTTCCCAAACCCTCAGACCTTAGACATCTCTAAAGGCCCAGGCCTTCAATCCAAAAGCTGCTGATGCTGTTAATACTTAAGCACCCGAAACAAAGTCGAACATACTTGAGACAAAGTGAAGAAGAACAGGCACACAAACCAAACATGCAAACCCAACCCCAAATCCCCAAACAGAAACCCCGAATCCCTAAGTAAAATCCCAAATCTCTAAACAAAATTCCCAAATTCTTACAAAAGACTCCAAACACCGAACTATAAAAAAAAAACAAATCCCTAACCCAAACCCTTAAACCCTAAACCAAACTCCCTAAATGGAAAGATTGTTCCGGCCCAGGGCTCGCAGATGCCCGGACGCAGAGCCGAGAGCTCGTGGACCTGCGGGCGACAGAGCTCAAGGCAGCAGGTTTAGGGTTTAAGGGTTTAGGGGTGTGGGGTTTAGGATTGAAGAGTTCCTTTAAAGGTTTAGAGTTTTTGGGATTAGGTTTTAAGGATGGTTTTTTAGGCTTAAGGGTTCCGTTTGAGGGTTCCATTAGGGTGGTTTAGGGTTTGAGGCTTCCTTCTTACAGTGGCTGGGGGGTTTAGAGTTTAAGGGTTGCTTTAAGAGTTGCTTACTATGGGGTTTTAAGGGTTCCTAGAAGGGTTCGTTCTTATAGGCTCCTTGAAGCGTTCCTTCAAGTGTTCCTCAGAGTTATTCTAAAGGGATTTAGGTTTATCCAAGGGTAAAAGGAGGGACCCCTAATAAGGACCCAAGGTATATACCCATAATACAGCTATTACATACCCATTAAATAGCCCATTATAGGGTAGGGGTCCCCATTAAGGGTCCTTCCTTTTCCCCTTTCAGTTTATTGAAATATAAAATGAAACTGTCCAGGCTCCAGTATCGTTTGTTGTGCTTGCAGGGAAGAGGGGGCGAGTTTTGGGTTTAGGGTTACTATAGGGGCCTTAACAATTACCTACACTGTTTGGGGGGTTTCCTGCTAATGATTTTCGTACAATGGGCCCCAAAACCCTTTTCGAATTATTGTGGCCCCTATATTAGGCTCCGACGGTTTAGAGTTTATAGGGTAAAGCTCCCATATGCCGGCTTCTGGAAGTGGTGTTTTTTTTTTTGCTGTGGCCCCGCCGGGTCTTTTTAGACCCGAGGTAGTACACCAGACATTTTTTGTTATTGGCTCTCCGAGTTCGGCGGGGCCGCAGCAAAAAAGAAAACATCACCCGGGCCTTGCCCAAAAAGTCGCCCCAGCCCACAGTGAGTGAGTGGGCGTCCGGGCGGGGCCGCAGCAAAAAAAAAAACACCACCTCGGCGGGAGGCATCGACGCCCAGGCCCGCAGTGAGTGAGTGAGCGTCCGGGCGGGGCCGCAGCAAAAAAAAAAACACCACCCCGGTCCGGGCGGGGCCGCAGCAAAAAAAAAACACCACCCCGGCGGGAGGCATCGACGCCCAGGCCCGCAGTGAGTGAGCGAGCGTCCGGGCGGGGGGGCCGCAGCAAAAAAAAAAACACCACCCCGGTCCGGGGCCCGCAGCAAAAAAAAAACACCACCCCGGCTGGAGGCATCGCGCCCAGGCCCGCAGTGAGTGAGTGAGCGTCCGGGCGGGGCCGCCAAAAAAAAAAACACCACCTCGGCGGGAGGATCGACCCCAGGCCCGCAGCGAGTGGCCGCAGCAAAAAAAAAACACACCCCGGTCCGGGCGGGGCCGCAGCAAAAAAAAAAACACCACCCCGGCGGGAGGCATCGACGCCCAGGCCCGCAGTGAGTGAGTGAGCGTCCGGGCGGGGCCGCAGCAAAAAAAAACACCACCCCGGTCCGGGCGCGGCCGCAGAAAACAAAAAAAAGAACACCATCCCGGCTGGAGGCATCGCCGCCCAGGCCCGCAGTGAGTGAGTGAGCGTCCGGGCGGGGCCGCAGCAAAAAAAAAACACCCTGGATGGTGTTTTTTTTGCTCTTTTAAAAAACACCACCCCGGCGGGAGGCATCGCCGCCCAGGCCCGCAGTGAGTTAGTGAGCGTCCGGGCGGGGCCGCAGCAAAAAAAAAAACACCCTGGATGGTGTTTTTTTTTTTGCTCTGGCCCCGCTCTTTCCCCTGCCTTTCGGCGGGGCCGGAGCAAAAAAAAAAACACTTTGCACGCCCTGGGACCGCAGCAAAAAAAACTCTAGAAACCATTGACACGGGGCCCGAGCAAAAAGGGGCCACAACAAAAAAAAAAACACCCTGACCCCGGCTTCTCATTCTCAAAGGTGTGGTGTCCCCGGCGTGGTGTCTGAGTGCTGCCCAGTGTTTTAAGCAAGCAAGTTTCGCTACACCCTGAACCTATTCCGGTTGGGGTCTACTTGCAGGATTAGCTGGGGTTAGGACAGGAGTTCCTTGATTCGGGTTGTAAGTAGGTGCAAATAGACTTACCTTGGATACAAGTGCCCGCAACCCACCCCTATGAATAGTAATTCTACTTTAAAAAATAGTAATAAACCAATAATTTTGAGAATAGCAATAATACTAATCGTAATAATAGTAATAAGACCTTCCTCAAAAGCAACACCAAACCTCAGCCCGAAGTCATAAGTTCAGACAGCCTGACCGCCCCTAGACCCTCTAAACCCTAAACCCTAAACCCTGACCCCCCCTAAAACTTAAACCCTAAACCCGGAACCCTAGACCCTCTAAACCCTAAACCCCCCCCTAAACCTTAAACCGGCACCTACTAGGATGCCCTGTAGTACCCTTATTCCCTTTTTGTAGTCCTAGGTTCCTTATAAAGTTACCCAATACCAAAAAGAGAGGCCTTTGAATTCTGAGGTTACTGGGTATCCTAGTATATTAACCCCCTATATTATAGAACCCTACTATAGATCCCTTATAGACCCCTTTAAGGAGCCCTATAGATCCCTGGGTATCCTAGCCTAGAATCTGAAAGCCAGGACCAGCTGTCCAGCCTCAGAGATTCCCTGGGTGGCGCAGCTCAGGCCGTGGTGTGTGGTTTTGTCAGTTTAGGGCTCTAGGGTTTAGAGGATTAGGGTTTAGGGTTTTAGGGTTTAGAGGTTTATTGGTTTAGGGTTTTAGGGTTTAGAGGTTTATTGGTTCAGGGTTTTAGGGTTTAGAGGCTTATTGGTTTAGGGTTTTTGGGCTTTAGAGGTTTATTGGTTTAGGGTTTAGAGGTTTAGGGTTGAGGGCCTAGACCATGAACGAGTGTACGATACTGTGTATAGCACTTTTAATTCAGCGACCCGGCATCCCAAGCTCAAAGGGCCAGTCCCCTAGCCCTAAACGTCGAAAGCCACGAAAAAGTCCCTGGACCAACCATAGACCCTGAACCCTAACCCCCCTAACCCAAGCCCCTGCAACCATAATCCTAATAGAAGGTCGGAATATATACATATACAAATATATATATATATATATATATATACACGTGTGTGTGTGTGTGTTTATGTTAAAACGAACCCTTGAACCCCTTTTTGATAGAGCCCTCTAAAGAACATTCTTTTCTGGCTATTCCGGTCCGTGCATGAAGCCGCCCATATCAAGCCCTAGCCTCTTCGTCCTATTCAGGCCCCCGTACTGAGCCCTGCCTGGACCCCAAAAGTATGTAGAGCAACAGCCTTGTTGGTGTCGGGCCGTTGTTTTACCTACTTGGGGGGGGTACAAGCCTAGTCATTGCACACATTAAGAACACTTATAGACCCCTTTTTGGAACCTCTTCTTCCTCTTAAGCATATGAAGCCTTGACCCCTTTAAAGGAACCTTAAAGGAATCCCGGTCTAAGTACGAAGGCCCTCATATGAACTCTGGCCCCTTTAAAGGAACCTTAAAGGAACCCTAGTCTAAGTATTAAGGCCCCCACATGACTCCTGCCCCCCCCCCCCCCGAGATCCCAGGAGGCGCTGAACCTGGCGCGCCGGCATGAGTCGCTCGAGGCCAATGGAAAGAGGGTTCAGTACTTGGAGGGTCGGGGGACTTAGTAAGTAGGTAGTAAGTAGACTTATAAGTACCCTAAAAGGGATCCTAATTGGGGTTATGGTACTTATAAGTCCCTAAAATAACCAGTTACTAAGTCCCCCGACCCTCCAAGCAGTAGGTTTTTGGGGGCTCCTGTTCAGGATCCTCGAGGGTTTTCAGGGTTTGATGTTCCTGCTTAAATAGGTAAAAACCGGACTGATTGGGTGTGGGCCTTCTTCCCTAAGGCCTGTTGTAATGAGGGCACTTGTTTAGATGCCGAAATATGAGGTTTCGGGGTTTTGGTGTTTTGGGTAAGAACGGAAAGATGCAAATCAACTCGGGACGCAAGCCCAGCATCCGTGGATATGACAGCATCGACGCCGGGCTCCACCGGATTCAACTGGCGTTTGGACTCTGCTTGCTCGGAGGGTCGGGGGACTTAGTAAGTAGGTGGTAAGTAGACTCATAAGTAGCCTAAAAGGGACCCTAATTGGGGTTATGGTACTTTTAATTCCCTAAAATAACCAGTTACTAAGTCCCCCGACCCTCCAAGTGATCACCGCAGTCGCGAATGTCCTGGAAGACCCGCTGAAGTCGAAGCTCCTGGAGGAAGGGAAAGGGACCAGGCGACCAATACGGTTTAGGGTTTAGGGTTTAGGGTTCAGGGTTTAGGGTTTAGGGTTTGGGGATCAGAAGTTATGGAGATGACGGTGAAAGCCACCAAGGTGGTGTGCTTGATGCAAGGAAAAAGGCCGCGGGCTACGGATTTCACGATCGAGCTCCAGGAGGACTTGCAACGTCACCGTGGCTGCTCGCATATGAGAGTTTCCGAAAATTGGGGGATACCTTGTTTTGGGGTCCTGATAATAAGGATCCTACTATTTAGGGTACTACACTAGGGCACTAGGGTCCTCTATTTTCAGAAACCCCCATATGATTGCTGTGCCCGAGGATGGCCAGAGGCATCCATGAAGCGGCCCCAAGCCTTGCAGCCACCTTAGCACGGCAGTTCCAATAGTGTCAGGATGCAATCCATGACTGTCAATACAACATAATCTTGTTTAGGTGTCTTAGGGTTACATAATCTTGTCTAGGTGGTTTTAGGGTTTAGGGTTTAGGTTCTTGAACAAGCGTACCTTTAATCTTATCGACTGTGAGTCCGGGCTGGGTCCGCCTCCGTTTGCTCAGAAATGTGACCTTCCACATGGGAGTTTACGTAAATTAGTTCGGGGTAGTGTATGTTGGGGTCCTTATAATAAGGATCCTGTTATTGAGGATACTACATTAGGGTCCCCTATTTTCGGAAACTCCCAGATCAACCCAGGCCCCTAACACCCATGCCTATGTCGTATGCACCCTGAACCTCAAATTTAAACCTGGAACCTTACGTCCTGCAGGGGAACCCTACAGCTTTTAGAGACCCCTAAACCGCATAAGAGATGACAAGACCCCCAAAATATGCCAACACCCTCAACCATGTATAATCATATATACTAAACCATATAAGGGTCCCCAAAATGACCCAAAACGCTCAGCCTTGTTATGCCTAAACCCTGAACCCGAAACCCTAAGCCTTTCACCCTAAACTTTGAGCCCTAAACCTTAAGCCTTAAACCTTTTATCCAAAACAAGCAGATCCTTCGTGGAAGCTCCCAGGAGCTCACCGACCGACGTTTCGGCGAAGAGCGCCGGGAGCTGGAGGCAGCGTACTTAAAGGATCATGGGACCTAGTAACTAGGGTTATAAGTAGGGTAGCTATACTTACAACCCCAATTAGGGTACTTATAAGCTTACTTACTAAGTCCCATGATCCTCCAAGTAGGGTTTAGGATTCAGGGTTTTGGGCTTAGGATTTAGGGTTTTGGGAGGCAGAAAGTTGCGCTCTGCAGTTGGGGCTTCGTAGCTGCCGTGGGATCTGAGCAGTATAGGGGTTTAGGGCTTCGGGGTTTAAACGTATAGGGGTTTGGGGTATAAGCTTGAATATGTTGGGTTTAGGGTTGATGGCTTCGAAGCTCCAACCTAAGTCTAGGGGTTTATCTTGTCTAACCCTACCCTGCCATCCAACGTAGCAAAAAAACTCTCACCCTGCTGCAGGTGTGCAAGTGGATATTGTTTGTTTTGGATCCCGGTGCCGTGGGTTCCAGAGTTCGATTTTCCTCAGTCCAAAACCCTCAACCCAAAAAATCTGAGCTATGCACGTCGGTCTGAAGCATTCAACCCCAAAACCCTGTGTCTTACTGCTTAAACCTTTAGCTTGAAGCTTTAAACCCAACCTATATTTCAAGCAAGCTAACCCACAACAGGAATTGTGTGTGGAGTATTGGCTATAGATGAACCTTGAACCGGCGTCCATGCAGGCACTGAAATCCTCGGATGCCGAGCGACAGAAGCAGCTCGACAGGCGCGGCCAACTCGCTCTGTCCTTCTCTGTTCCTCTCTCTCCCTCTCTCCCTCTCTCCCTCCCTCCCTCCCTCCCTCCCTCCCTCCCTCCCTCTCTCTCTCTCTCTCTCTCTCTCTCTCTCTCTCTCTCTCTCTCTCTCTCTCTCTCTCTCTCTCTCTCTCTCTCTCTCTCTCTCTCTCTCTCTCTCTCTCTCTTTCTTTCTCTCGTGACGAATTAACGGTCATAAGGTACGTATAGTTAGCTTTTTAGCAGATGTAGCTGGTGAAGCGGTATCATGTAACTTGCTGAAACAGAAATACCCGGTGCTGTAAGCACATATACGTACAGTTATCCTACCGAACCCCGTCTGCTTTGGGAGGAGCAGCTTTGAGAGACGAGCACGCCAACTTCTTGGTGTAATATATAAGCCTTGACAAGCCCTACAGCGTGCTTTTACTTTGGAGTTCGCGGGGGTTTAGGGTTCTCGAGGGGTCCATGTTGAAATGAGGGTTTAGGTTTCCGGGCTTCCAGTCTGGGTTGATTGCCGGTTTGTGGGCGGTTCGTCGATTTTCAAGGCATATGCAGCCCGAGAAAGGCTATTTCCGGTGTGCGTGACTTCTTCGGCTGCATGTTGGATGTTTCCGCCCTACGCGCCGGCGCCATCCTCTTAATTTGTGTGTACAGGGACCCTCACAAGCAGGTGGCCTTTGTACATGTTGGATGTTTGCGACGACTTTTCACAGGACCCGGAGCCCTAAACCCCAACGCCAAGACCGTATAAACCCCAAACTCTCTTTCCCAGACCGACAACTCTGAGCCCTTGTAATCACTGCCCAGACCCTGCACAGTAACAAAGAGCAGCACTAGTAATCACCTTATTAGATATAGTACGTAATCAGTAACAGCCATAGCAGTAATAGTAGTAATCATAGTAGTACTCCAAAACCCCTGGATCCCCGAAGCTGCATCCCATGATCGAAACTCCGAACTTCTGTTGATGATACAAATCCTGCATTACCCATAACAAGGAGTATACCATGATTCCCCATAGTTTAGGGTCCTTAAGGTAATCCAGGATTTATATCATCCAGCGTTCCACCAAGAACGCCTAAAGAATTGCATCCTGAAACCTGCTCCTTTCGCCACGAGGCTCACCAAGGCCCTCGGGGAGCAGTCGGAAGCGCGCAAAGGATGGGCGTGATGCTTAACCTGTTAGAGCCTTCCTTTGTTGAAGTTCCTGGAGAATTAGCTATTAGCATTGAAGTTCAGCTCCTTAGTCTACCGGACCTTGTTGCAGCTTGCGGCAAATTGTTGAAGCGATTCCCTATTTACATAGGGTTATTGGGCTTCGGGGCTGCAGCGTTTGGGGCTTGGGGTATTTGTTTAGATAGGGTTTAGGCTTAGGCTTTAGATACGCTTCCTTGTGAAGGGATCCGTCACCTAAATTAAACGACCATACCAGAGATCCCATCGAAACTTCCCGGCCTGGAGGCACGTAAGAGGATCGAGGACTTAGTAAGTGTAGTTATAAGTTAGATACTGCCCCCATAGAGTAAGAGTCTATAATACGTAGGGCTACTATTAAGGTCCTAATATATCTAGATTATGAATATTTTTCAACTATTACTGAGTGGGGGCCGTACCCAAGTTATAAGTAAGGTAACTCTCGTGATGGTCATCTAGTTGTCTAGGTGAAACTGTCGCAGTATCAGCATTCAACTGACTAACTGCAGCCCTGAACACCCCAACACCAAAACCCGAACCCCTGAACACGAGAAATTAAAGCCCTAAACCCCAATGCCCGCAAAACCCCAAACGCACCCGAAGTCCCAACATGTAAGTGTAACCACCAAAGCAAGAGTGATTAGCAATAGTGCTCCTTGAGGTCCCGACTCTAGCGTCAGTATAAAGCATCCCAAAAGCAGCCCCTAAAGCGCTCAAGGTCTACGATTTATCACGGTCTGTATAACTTGCCACAAAAGCAGTAGGCCACTTGGTAGCTTCCTTTTTACAGCTAGAGCACCAGAACCCTGCTCCAGTTCTTAAGGCACTATGCTCGGGTCCGTCAGGCCCCCATAGCTACACAGCTACACCCTGAAGCAACCCTAACCCTAAGAGTCCATGTACTCATACAGTATATACATGGGCCCTAAAGTAGTCCCTATATAGGTACATTGCGCCCAAACTATATACTCTATGAGTACATGGACCCGTAGGATAAGCTCAAATTGACAAAACTTGGCAATACACCACATCAATGATACTATCCCGCGACCCAATCCCACGCCCCAACACCACAAGACACAACCAAACAGAACAAGGGTGCTGATCATTTACCCCAAACACCTAAAACGCCCAACCAAACATCCAAAGGGAACAAGGGCACGTAGAGTTAACCAGCGAAAGCAGGAGTGGCCAGCGACCTCGAGCGCTGTCAGGCTTCGGACAGGCCCTGCTTTGCGGGTTTCAGGGTTCCTTTAAGGTTCGAGGGTTTAGAGTTAGGATTTAGGGTTTCGGGTTTAGAGTTAGGGTTTAGAGTTAGGGTTTAGGGTTTCGGGTTTAGTTACGGGTTTAGGGTTTCGGGTTTAGTTAGGGGTTTTGGGTTTTGGCTTTAGGTTTACGGTTTCGGGTTTAGGGTTTCCGTGGTAGGGTTTCGGGTTTCTTTCAGGGTTCGTTCTCATGCTTCTCTGAAGGTTTGAGGAATTGGGGGCTTTTGGGTTTAAGGTATAAAGTCTGAGACGAAAGAGCTATGTAAAGGATACTTCAGGGGTTGAAGGATTGAAAGGTGTTCTTAGGATGTTTAGGGTTGTCGTAACCTCAAAGCACAAAACCCGAAAAGAGGACATGCTAAACCCATCTAAACTGAACAGGGCATCGGTATTAGTATTGGTGTCCCTTTGTAGGCTTCCTTCGCTACGGAAAGCGCGGAACCTTGGAGTAGAGATAGACTTCAAGCCTTAAGCCGGGTCCGAACCCCCCCCCCCCCCACGTCCAACGGTGTCGAGGGTCTTAGAGGGACTACCCAGATTTCCGGGAGGATCTAAAAAGTAGATCCTCTAATTTGGCCCGAGCTACTAAAGGTAACTTTATAGGAACCCCCTTAAGGGATCTACTTTTTGGATCCTCCCCTAAGCCCTTAAAGGGACCCTTAAAGGAACCCTTAAAGGAACCCTTAAAAGGAAGCCCCCTTAAGGGATCTACTTTTGGGATCCTTCCAGGGGTCTGACTAAGGGCTTCGGGGATTGAGGATTGCAAGTTCAGAGCTGAGGGTCTCGGGGCCAAGGGCCCAGGATACCCTCAACCTTGCTTAAAGGATCATGGGACTTAGTAACTAGGGTTCCTTAAAGGGCTCTTTAAAGGGATCTATAGGGTTCCTTAAAGGGATCTATAGGGTTTAGGATTTAGGGTGTACTTAAAGGATCATGGGATTTAACCCCAACTAGGGTACTTATAACCTTACTTACTAAGTCCCATGATCCTCCAAGCTGAGCCATCCATCATTCAAGCCCAAGCCATTCCATCGAATTTACCCCAATCCCTAGACCCCGAAGCCTAGGTCCTACCATAGGGCTTTATGGGGCACTGTGAGTTTCATGAGGCTTGAAGGGCTTCAAGCGTTTCGGGTGGGGAAATCGGGCCTGTTGATTTCTTGGTCTCCTTATGCCGGGCCTACCGTTCTCTACTTGGAGGTTCATGGATAGTTATATGTAGGGTTATAAGTAGGGTAACTATACTTATAAGCCATATTAGGGGACTCATAACCCCACTTATAACTACCCATGAACCTCCAAGTAGCCCGTCCTTCGCCGTGCTTTCTGCTGGTTGTTTGCGGCTTAGGCTTCGGCTTCCCTGTGCGGCTACATTCACGTGCTAAAGGTTGATAAAGACCCTGGTACGAAATGCTGATGTGTGGGTCGATGATATCAGCATCGACTCCGAAAGCCGTTCGCCCTCTCTCGTTGCCAGCAGCGTTTTCCACAACTACACCACCCTGTTTTCGGCTTTGCAGGAGGCTGGCCACTGCCCTTCTCTCAAGAAAGCCAACTTCCTGGCGGGCTCCGCGGCTGTGGAGAAGGAGCTCAAGGCGTTGGTCAGGCCCACTGACCCCGAGATCGGGAGCACGGCCAAGGACTCCGGCATGGTCCGTGGAGCTGCCCGGAGGAGGGTCACGACCGGAGCTCAGGCACGAACCACCAAGGGTGGCAAGTTGTTCAGTAAGCTCCTCGCCCTTCGGATGCCAAACCTACGGAAGCAAGGAAGGTTCTTCGCGGCGTCGATCCTCTCGGCCAGCCTGTGGGGCCAGCAAGCGGCGGGGATCAGCCCGAAGGCTCTCAAGGCCGTCCGGTTTCAGGCGGGGCTCATGAACTGTCGCCACCGGTTGGGTAAACAGAGGTTTGAAGTAGTAGTAGTAGTAGTAGTAGTAGTAGTAGTAGTAGTAGTAGTAGTAGTAGTAGTAGTAGCAGCAGCAGCAGTAGCAGTAGCAGTAGCAGTAGCAGTAGCAGTAGCAGTAGCAGTAGCAGTAGCAGTAGTAGTAGTAGTAGTAGTAGTAGTAGTAGTAGTCGTCGTAGTAGTCGTAGTAGTCGTAGTAGTCGTAGTAGTCGTAGTAGCCGTAATAGTCGTAGTAGTAGTAGTAGTAGTAGTAGTAGTAGTAGTAGTAGTAGTAGTAGTAGTAGTCGTAGTAGTCGTAGTAGTCGTAATAGTCGTAGTAGTAGTAGTAGTTGTAGTAATAAGTAGCAGTAGCCGTCGCAGTAGCCGTAGCAGTTGCAGTTGCAGTTGCAGTTGCAGTTGCAGTAGCAGCAGAGCACTAGTAGTAGTGATTAGCAGCAGCAGCCGCCGCAGTAGCAGTGCCTGTTTCTGGACCCCAGAAAATGGTATGTACCAGAACAGACCCCAAAGGTCCCCATGATTCTGTGCGAACCCATCGTAGTAGGCCGTATAGAACCCTAAACCTTAAACCAGAACCCTTGAAGCCCCTTCCGTTAAACCCTGAGAAGAAGGCAGCATGCAGACACCTTGCGGCGCTTGGAGACTCGCCTGGAGGCTCGTGCCTACCCATATAGGCTCCATACGGCTGATGAGGTAAATCCTGCATATCCTTAGGACCCTAAACTATGGGAATAATGGTATATTCCTCATTATGGGTAATGCAGGATTTATATCATCAACCGTAGTCCTTTCAAAACTTGGGCTCAGGGTTTGGGGGTTCAAGGCATTTTTCGGAGTTCAGGGTTTAGCCAAGTATAAGATATCAGCCTGGAGAGTCTGAGGGTTAAGCTTGAGGTTCTTCCTATTCTAATTCTTCTTATTGCCCCTATATTATAGTACCCACAAAGATCCCTGGAAGTAACTTCAGAACTGGTAGTGGCTTAGCATTCCGGCTTTGCGTGGAAGGGCTGGGGGCTTCTTGCTTCGAGTCCAGGTGGAGAGAAGGCTTACTTGAAGGTTCATGGGTAGTTATGAGTGGGGTTATAAGTCACCTAATATGGCTTATAAGTATATAGTTACCCTACTTATCACCCTACTTATAACTACCCGTGAACCTCCAAGTAGCAGTATCAAGCTCCACTTGTTCGGTGGCTTTCCTGTAGAGGACCGCACCCGCAGATAGATCGAATATATAGTCAAAACACGATTAAACTGTGTAGTATGCACCAGATCCATGTTTAGAATGATTAGCATGGCCCCGATGTAAGAGTCTTCAGGCTTCGGTGGGTGAGGTTTTTTGTGAGGTCCACCATTAGTACCTGCTTGCCCTTTCTACTTTGTAGTCGCCTATTTAAGACTGAATGCCAAGCATCAGGACATCCTTTAGACTATAAGGAGATACAATGAGAATCTAGCTTCGATCACCGAAGCTCCCCCGATCCGCAGCCCTCAACTCCACCCTTCCTCGCCTTGGACCTTCTGCCCTACACCCGAGCCCCCGCAGTCTCTCTAACCCTACTCCGAGGATCATAAGACATAACGTAGGAACCTGATTAAGACACCCTGGGTCTGTAACCCCAAAGACAGGCCCAAGGTTTCTTAATCAGGTTCCTACATTAGCAACTCGGGTTATAAGTTATAAGAGCCGAAATAATCGGGATTGCCGATGGTTTCCCTGCTGGTGACTAAGCCCCCCCACCCGCCGGTTGCGTCTTTGAAGGAAACCCCAAACCTAAGCACCTAAAGTCTCAACCCCCCCAACCCAAAGCCCAAAACCCAACTCTAAGTCCTAGACACCACCACTCGCCGACCAGGCTCTGTCTGCTTCCTCGGTGCAGATGGCTGAAGGTGGCTTGGGGGTGCAGGGATCCGGGTTCAGGGATGTAGGGTTTGGGTCTTTCATCTAGAAAGTATGCTATTGCTGCTATAGGGGTTGAGAGATCTGCGTTTGGGGATCGAGGGTTTAGGTCAGTTCGGCTGTGGGAGATTTGAAGAGTTTCTGGGTTTTTGTGCATGGTAGAAGAATGGAAAGCGTGACACTTTCCAGGCAGTCGACGGGTCATCCAGATGGTTGGAGCATCCGGTGTGGCCTCTCTTGCGCAAAGCAGCCGCGGGCATCCGCAAAGACAAAGGAGACAAGAAGGTGCAAGAAGGACGGACAGGACGTTGCATAAAGTGGACTCATGGAGCACGAGTCAGGGCTGATGTACGCCGAAGGGACATGGCTCGTGGATGCAGCAAGAGCGGCGGATTTCAAGACGAAATATTCGGAGCAGGCGGTTGAATTCGTCGTGAGTGATTACAGTAGTGGTAGTAGTGGCAGTAGCAGTAGCAGTAGCAGTAGCAGTAGCAGTAGTACTAGTAGTACTAGTAGTACTAGTAGTAGTAGTAGTAGTAGTAGTAGTAGTAGTAGTAGTAGTAGTAGTAGTAGTAGTGGTGGTAGTAGTATCCGCAGCAGTAGTGGTAGTCCCCTATAGTCACTAATGCAACCTTACTGTAGTATCACCCAAATACCCTTTTGTGATTGAGGCCTCCATATCAGGATCCGCCACGGAATCCCAGCATTCTATGCATCCCCCAATAGCGGTAACCCCAAAACACAAACCCCGAAACCCTAACTAAGCCCTATAACCCTCATAGCAAGCCTTACACCTTATACTGTAAACTAGCCCCCGGTAGCTTAGTCGAACGCGCCCCCAAGTCGTCCGGAATGCTGCAGGTGTCGCAGAGGCGAAGGTCTTCGCCCGCGAGGCCTGGCATTGAGAGAAGAATACGGTCGATTCTGCAGTCTTAATTCTGGGCCGTGTCCAGGGCGACGACCTTCGATACCACTTCTTCAATCATCCACCTGCAGATGGCAGTTTCCGAAAATAAGGGGTAAGGATCCTACTATTTAGGATACTGTATTAGGGTCCCCTGTTTTCGGAAACTCCCATATAGGGATTAGGGACTAGGTTCAACTATACTTATAAGCCATATTAGGGGGCTTATACCCCCACTCACAACTACCCATGAACCTCTTCGTAGGGATTAGGGATCGGGGATCAAGTTCCACGGATGACGGCTTAGGGTTCAGGGTTTCAGGGTTTCATAAACGGCTGCAAAACCGTTCCTAAGAAGCACATGAAAGCCAAGAACGACCTTGCCCGAAGCCTCCTGCTACGTCATGTTGAATCACCTGCCATTTTGTTGAGCTGAAAATGTAAACCATCCTGAACCTGAAACCCTGAACCCCTAAACCCCTAAACTCAACCCTGAAACCCAAGCTGTGGGCCTGGAGCTTTACAAGCTCTTCCAGACTGACCCGGAACCCCTTAATCTAAAGCCCTACTATAGGGGTCTTAAAAATCAGGGTTCGGGGGCCCATTAGACTATGATTATACTAAGGAACACCCCCAAAATAGTATAAACCCTAGCCCCTAAAGTATGAATCGGCAAGCCCAAACGGGAGCCATCAGTCCCTGAGTTTAGAGATCAATGCAAAGCCGAAAATCCTTCCTACTTGGAGGGTCGGGGGACTTCGTCAGTAGGTATTAAGTAGACTGATAAGTACCCTCAAAGGGACCCTAATTGGGGTTATGGTACTTATAAGTCCCTAAAAAAACCAGTTACAAAGTCCCCCGACCCTCCTAGTACAAGCCTTGACTTTGACTCCATACACAGACCCTCAAGCCCGTAGCCTGAACGCCCGATTCCGTGAGACCCATGAAATTCCAACCGAAGACCTCTATACAACCCAAACACATGCGAGCCAATTTCTTTGAACCCCTTATCTCTAAGCCCGTAATAAAACCCTAATCCCTGAACCCTAAACCCTGATCCCTGAAGTCTAATTGTATACTTAAGGAGCCCTTAAGGAGCCCGTACGGCCTGAAGAAGTTCTGTAGCCTGATGATGCCCAGCCAGTCTGTGACGCCCATGTACAAAACCTGTACAAGACCCTTGTCATACTTAAAAACAGCTTACAAACTTTCAAAATCTTAGAAAGGCCTACAATGGACTGCGGAGCTTTACAAACCGTATAGCATCCTAAAACGACCCCATTGAAAAAGCAATAAAGTCCGAAAGCGTCTGCATCCGTAAATTCTACACCCCGAACCCTAAACCCAAACTCCAAATCACAAACTCCGATCATATTCCACAAAGCCCATACAATCCGCTAATATACCATAAAAACCTTGCAAAGAGGAGTAGACAAGCCTCAAAACCCCCACAGATTTTTGCGCCCACCATCCTGAGGCCCAGACCCCTGGATCTTCTAGGACCTAGAGTAGGCCCTTATTCCCTTTTCTTAGGGTTCAGGTTCCCTTATAAGCCCCTTTAGACCAAAAAGGGTACCCTTTTTATTCCTAGGTTACTCTTGGGTCTAGCCTTCCAAAATCCCTTAATTAAGGAACAGACCTTAAATCATGTTAGGGATCCTACTCCAGGCGAGTAGACCCTAGACCCTAAACCTAAAACCCTAAACCCCTAAACCCTAAACCCCCAAACCCTAAACCTTAAACCCCTAAACCCTAAACCCTGAAAAGCCTAAACCCCACAAATTTGGATCCACCTCCAGGCAGCGGAGAAGGCCCAGGTGCAGGCAAAGGAACTCCTGGAGCAGCGTGCGACGGAGTTGAAGGACCGCTTTTTTGTGATTTTTGTTTTGGGCTTTAGGGTTTAGGTTAGGTACTGCCCCCATACAGTAAGAGTCTATAATGGGTTAGTTGAAGGACCGCTTCTTAGTAGCTGAGTGGATACACTTTTACACTTTTTGGGATAAAAGTACCTACTATAAAACTGAAAGTGTACACTTTTTGGGGCTTATGAACTCAGCAACTAGGGCTTGTTGTGGTTTTTGTTTTGGGTTTTGGGGTTTAGGCTTTGGGGGTTCTGTTGTTGAGAAGGTTGGAATGCGGGGATTTATTGAATGTGTCAGGGGCTTTTTGAAGAGTTCAGTTGGTCTTCGGAGGTTCAACAGGGCGTCTCATGCGGTGTTCGCATCCGGAGGCGACGCCTAGATTGACCCTACCGAGAGGCGCATGGGGGTTTAGTAAGTAGAAGTACTGTTGTTGGACAAAATGCTGCATGACCCTAAGGACTCTAGACTATGGGAACTATGGGATATTCCTTATAATGGCTAATGCAGGAATTTGTCCATCAACGGTATCCATACCTCCAGACGGGCTACAAGTGTTTAGGGTTTAATCAGGGGATATTTTTGGTTTAAGCAGAACATCAGAACTAAGGCTCCAATGCTGAAAAATCACACAGCAAATTACGCAAACTCTTAGATAGCCAATGGGAGAATCTTGAGCCTTCAAGCTTTTTGGCCTTACATATTTGGTCCATTTTGGAAAGATTGAACTTTATACGGCCCGGTTATGGCTGAAGAGAGAACTAACACTTAACCCTATACCCTAAACAGAACTGAGAAGCCTCATCCCTGAAATCATAAAATAGGGGCCTTCATACTTACCTCTCCTGTTTTGGGGGCTTCCTTGTTAGAAGTATAGTATAATGTGCCCCAAAGCCCTATTCTAATTATTATTGCCCCTATATTATAGTAACCTTATAGATCCCTTATAGTAACCCTTATAAATACCCCTTCAAAAGGGAACCCTACTCTCATCATTAAGGCCCAGAAATTAGCGGCTCTCTGCCAGGAGCAGGCCGAACGGCGGGCTGCGGAGGCGGCGGCGAAGTTCCAGGCCGATTCCTTCAACGTCACGTACCTTAGGGGTACTTAGAAATAACGTTTTTGTCACTAAGAAACAACTAAAATTGAAATCTAGGGCTCTAAGTTCAGTACAGGTACCCAGAGAGCCCAATACCCCTTAGTTAAGGAATATGGCTTAAACTATATAGGGCTTCATATCATGATTTACGCTATATTCATTAAGGGGTATTGGGCTCTCTGGGTACTCTTGAAACCTGTAGCTTACCCTAAGGCTCAGAGGACTCATATTTTAAGGCTTTTGGGCCTAGAGACCATATGATTTAAGGCCTTAGGGTTTGGGCTTTTGGGATTTAGGTACTTACTTGTAATTAGGTGTTAATTATAGGGTTTCCTTAAGCCCGAAAACCTATACCCCTTAAACCCACAAGCCCTTAAACTTTAAACCCTAGGGTTGGGTTTGCTGGTTTCGTGGTTTGGGGGAAGTCTTACGCGTGTCGCCGGGGTCTATGATTGCTCAAGGATTTCGAAGTGTTGGCATATCCGAGGAAGGTTGCAACGCTTTGTGTGCATATCTCCCCAGATGTTGCACCCTGAATACAACCATAGTTCAATATGCATGTCTGGCAGCTGGAAGCTTGGCCGCCGATAGAAAACTCCATGCTCTATCATGTGTTGGGCCTTCGTCGTCAACAGCAAGCAGAAAGCAAGTACGCGATGGTTGGTTCCCTGGAGACAGCGGTTTCCAAAAAAGGACCAACGTACCTGGTCTATCGGCCATGCCCAACCTGGCCAGGCCTGACATTAGCTTGGCCGCCGAGCGTAAGCCTCGGCAAGCTAAGCTCTACAAGCACCCAGCCAACATAAATGGAGTCATAACTCGCAGCTTTACTCTAAACCCGAAGTCTTAAGCCTGAATTACGCTTCGAGCTTCCATAGACAGAAGAGCCCTAAGGTGCCTTAATGGGTCTCTGAACAATCCTATAAAGCCCGATACTGCTAGGCCCTGCAAGCAGCGGATTCCGAGCGGGAGCAGCGCCTCCAGGACAAGGGGTGTTGAAATACGGGGGGCTTAGGGTTCCTTTCAGGGTAGGGTTTAGGGTTTAGGGTTTAAGGGTTTAGGGGTTTAGGGTTTAGAATTTGATTCGACAGTTCCTGGTGAGGAGTTCAGGGTTTCTTTTGGGGCCGTATGGGTTTTGGTACAGGTCCTTGAAGGGGTCTTAATCATTAACGCAGGGGGCAACGATGGCATGCAAACGAAAATGGGCCATGAGGAGACGAGACGTGTATTTTCATGATGCGACGTTGCGGATGCCAGACATTTCACACTCAGAGCGGGCGCTGTGCGCGCAACAGACATTCACAGCACGTGTCACAGGGACACCGAGTTCGAGATGATGCCCGCATGCCCCTCCCTGTGCTGTGCAACATGAACATCGTTCAAAGAACACACATGATGCTAGTTTAATATAGGAGTCTAAATAGTTACCTACACTAATTTGGGGGGGGTCCTTATTATAATTATGGTATAATATACCCCAAAAACCTTATTCTAACTATTAAGGCCCCTGTACCATATCATTCTAGATCCTTTATAGAACCCTTTAAGGGACCCTTTAGAGGAACCCTAGTCTAATTCGGTAGGATCCCAGAAAAGCACATAAATCCCCAATAGCGATTGAATACCGCACAGCAGGAGCACTTAAGACTGCCATTAGGTGGGTACCGAATGGGACGGAAGACTGACAAGCAGCGGCGATAGAAGCACGGGCCTGCTTCACTCTCTACTACGCTGCAGACGCGGCGGAGAGAAGTGCAGGCTACGAATCCACGGATTCCGCGCCTTTAAGGCCCTTGTAGTATGCTAAGACATATGGGAGTTTCCGAAAATTAGGGGACCCTAATATTAAATAGTAGGATCCTTATTATAAGGTCCCCATAATACGGTACCCTAATATTATGGGAGTTTCCATAGTGCTTGAGCGATACTGCGAGTCCTGCTCTGAGCAGATGCTTAAACCCTGAAATCCTAAACCCCAGAACTCAAAGCCCTACCAGGACCCCCCAATGTCCCTTTAATGGAGCCCTCATGGTGCTTAATCGTGGGTATGTTTAGGGCAGATTATAGGGTAGTTGGGTTGTCTAGGTATACCGACAGACAGTAAGTGATCATACATGCCGCAACACCCATGAGGTTGAATCCTAAATCCGTATTCTTACACCATCCTAACCGTAAACCCTAAACCGTCCCAAACCCTCGTTCCTCAACTCCTAGAGTCCCGAGATCCGATAGCACCTTGCACTCTAAACCATCCTAATCCTTACCTAAATTCCTAAGAGTAAGTAGAATAGTGGCCCAACACCTACAAAAGGCCATTATTCTACCTACTTTGGGATCCCTAACCACAAAGCCCCCTTAGCCCTAAATCCTGGACCCTTAACCCCAAAACCCTGAAAATCCTACCCTCCCTAAGCCCTTAACCCTACTTGAAGGATCATGGGACTTAGTAAGTGGGGTTATATATAAGGTAACTATACTTATATATAACTACTTATAACCCCAATTAAGGCACTTATAACCTTACTTACTAAGTCCCATGATCCTTCAAGTAGACCCTAAACCCTTATAAATCCCATTATAGGAACCCTTATAGATCCCTTTTAAAGGAACCCTAAACCCTAAACCCTCACCTTAACTACTAAGTCCCATGATCCTCTAAGTAACCCTAAACGCCCAGGAGCTGGCCAAGGCAGGCGTGGAGGCCGCAGCGGCGCGGAAAGGCGAGGCGAGAGAATTCCAGGGCCTCGGACTGCTTTTCGGGGGTTGCTGTAAGGATTTTGGGCTTGGGATTAAGGTTTAGGGCTTTAGGGTTTAAGGGGGTCCTTTAACCTTTAAGGGACTGCTTGATTCTTGTGGGGTTCCTTTAATTTAAGGGTTTTGGGCTTGGGATCGGGGTTTAGGGTTTAGAGGGTTCCTTTAACCTTCAAGGGTTCCTTTAGGGGTTCCTGTTTGGGTTCCTGTGATGCTTGATTTTAAAGATGCTGGGCTTGAGATTTGCGTTTTTATGGTTTAGGGTTTAGGATTGAGAGGTTTCCGTTTAGGGTTGCTTAAAGGGTTTAGGGTTGCTTTGAGGTTCAGTTGGGTTCCTTTAAGTTGCATTAAGGATTCCTGTAAGGGTTCCGGTTGCCTCACGGGTCTTTTACTTTCAGGGTTACTGGAATGGCTATTATAAGGGTTGCTCCAAGTGGGCAAGAGTTTCGGGTGTCGGGTTTAACAGTTTCGGGTGCATAGGGTTCGGCGTTTGGGATTCCCTTTAAGGTCCTGGAAAGGGTTCTGTAAGGGTGTAGGTCTTTAATTTTGTGGGCAACCCCTTAACGTGACTTGGGACTATTGGAAGGCATGAGTTTTGAATTCCAGAATACCAGTTTAGAGGATGCCATCTGGCGACGTCACCCTACCTTAAACTACCAAACCCTACTTTTTTGTAGGTTCTTATTATAACCTTTAATACGGAATTTATAGGACCCTACAAAAAAGTAGGTTTTGGTAGGTTAAGGTATAGTAAAAGCCAGAAAGTTGGAATATGATTATCGTAAACCCTTTATGGTAAATTATAAAGTATCCTACCATGAAACCATATTCCAACTTTCTGGAGTTCCCTTTAATGCCCAAAGACTCAGGTGACTAAGACCTCAAATTCGCGCTATCACCTCTTCCCTGCAAATTTCGAACGCCTGATGCCTAAACCCTAAACGTAGCCCTTAACACATTGGTGTTGTTGGATATACAACAGAATCGTTGTAGTCCACGGGGTTTAGGGGTTAGCGCAGTAGACACAGCAGCGATTCCCTCCACAATCGTCCTAAGACTCAGAAACTGAGTGAACGGTAAGAGCATTGTCACAAGACCAGGTATGAAACAAAGTTTTCGCAGACCTCAGAGCATACATCCGCAACCGAAGACGCCAGCCCGGAATTTTTCTGTGCACTCGATGCCAGGACTCTTAGCCGAAGTCGAGAAATGCCAATCTCTTGACAGGCGTGGATTGTGGGTTGCATGTGGCTAGCTACATGTCTCTATACTCTAATTACCGCGACGCTTCACTCTAATTACTCTAATTCGCCGCGGATATCTCTTTCGAGTCTACAGATGGTCAAAACGCCCAAGCCACAAGCCATAGCTAGGCTTAGACCTTTAACCCTCAAATCACGGGCTCTGTCCTTAGGATTCCGCTTATAGTATACAAATGTGCGGGCAATCCATTTCGGCAATGCACGCTTGACATTCGGGAAATGGGCTCAGTTGTTCCAGGGGTTGCACGAACAGTCCGAGTAAAATGCTCGGCCCAGACCTCCAGCACATGGTGGGACTCACAGTGTGGCCGAGATGTGTTGGCTTTGGCTTAAACCCTAAATCCGAAAAAAACATACACTTTGAACAGGTTTATGAGATATTTATAGCAGGGGCCCGAAAGCAATTATATTATCAGCCCCTTCTGGTTTCCATTCATGTTAAAGCCCTATCCAAAGCAAAAAGTCCCTTATCCCTGAAGCCCCGAAGCTCGTGAAACCCTCACGGGACCAGGCCATAGACGCTCGATTCCTAACCCCTGACCCAAAGGATCCTAAGTTATAAGTATATCGTAGAATTTAAGGTCTCTGCAATACTAATGCGGATATGACGAATTAGTATCGTAGTTTGGTTAAGTATTCGAAACTACGATTTAGTATTGTAGTTTGGTTAAGTATCCCCCACAACGGTGCCTTGGACCCTCTGCGTAAACATAGGCAGCTACAAGATGAGCTGCGCCGCGTGGACGCCCGACTGGAAAAGGCTGGGAAGTTGCAGAGACGGGTCTCAGAAGGGACTTTCAGTGGGCGACGTGTCGGCTGAAAGAAAGATACGTTGTTAAGGGGTCGGAATAAGTCGCAGTACCGTTCCCTGATGGTCACTAAATGACCAGTATACGATTGCATTTTACTCCAAGCCCGATATCAGGCATGTTAAGTCAAGAAACCTATGTTCGGCTACAAAGGGGATATCGGATTCCTCGCACGCCAAAGTTTGATCATTCAGGCGTGTTGCCAAAGGCAAGGCTGCACTGCGAAAGGTACTGTATGTAGAAGCACCATGGACATGTGAAAGGCTTCATAAACCCTAAACGCGCAACACCGAACCCTAACCCCATAAACCCTAAACCCTAAAGTCCCATTAGCTTATGGTTTACAGCCTTTGCTTTGCCGGGCGAGGTCTCAGCTGTGGCGGTGCAGTCCTCCGAAGGCCCGGTTCGGCCACTTAGGGGTTCATAGTTTAATGCGATAATTAGTATAGTGTACAATGATATAACATATGTATACATAGTTATTATGTATACATATATATATATATATCATACTGCATCATACTATATTGGTTTCTGACTTGCGCGAACGCTTTATCAAGGAGGAAGCAAAGAAAGCAGGTCCGTCAAGCAACTATTCCACGGATTGGATCTTTTCTCATCAAACACGTGGGGACAGTCTTTCGCCAACCACTGTAGTGACAGTGCCACGACCGTGGCAAAGATCCACGATGCTTGTCTTCGCTAAGAAGCAGCATTTCGGTTCACACGAGCTCAAGGAAAGGCTTTTCATCAACGACCATGAAGGAAGTTCCTGAGCACCATCGTGGCGAAATTCGACATTGTCGACAGTGACACCAGGCAGAAAGCCATCAAGATTCAGCCGCAGATTTCCTTGTGGGACGTGACGCCATCCCGTTGAAAGCAGCTATGACAGAGGGCAAGGACTAAGATCATGTTCTAAAAAGTTTGGCTTGAATCAACCGAAAAGAATAAGGGTGATCATACTCTATGAAGTATTACACGACATCATGTTAACTTGTACTATATTAGGTTCTTTAGGGTTCTCTTGGGGCTCCCTTGAGAGGTCCTCCACGGGTCTTTGGGGTCCGTTAAGCGATGTTCAGGGGCTTTGGAGTTAGGTTTACGGTCCGTCAGTACAGAATGGCCGATGCAGCTACCCTAAACCCTCAACCTTGAACCCTAAGCCCTAAACCCTAAACCCTAAGTAAACCCTGAGCCCCTGCAGATTTTGGCCCCCAAAGCCAGATCCTCCAAAACAGATTGTTGAGTCAAGCCCTAATCCATTTTGGGAGGTTCCGTATTATAAGTATAGTATAAGGGGCCCCAAAACCCTAATCCAATTATTAAGGCCACTATATTCGGGTTGAGGGTGTTTTGGTGAGGGTAGGGCCCTAATCTTAGATCTGGGTGGTGGTGGGGAGGGGGGGGGGGGGCAAAACTGCTGAAATGAGCGAGTGCTATGGAGCACCGTGACAGGGCCGAGTGACCTTTCCTGCATGAAAAAGGAGCCCCCGAAAGGGACGGTAATTTCAGAGAACTACCCGCGAAAATCCTGAACTTAGGCCTTCGACCGATGCCGAGATACAGCTGAACTGAAGAAGCCCCGAACCGCACCTAACAAAGCCCTAAATCCGATGAAAAAGTCCCTGGAGAACCTATGAAGCCACGACCCCTCAACCCTAAAGCCTATGTAGACCCCTAAACACTAAACCCCCGAAACCCTAAGACTCTAAAACCCTAAGACCCTGAACCCTAAAACCCTAAACATCCAAAATCCTGAAGCCTAAAACCCTGAACCCTAAACCCTAAAACCCTAAATACTAAAACCCTAAACCCTATAAACCCTGAACCCTAAACCCTGAAAGCCTGAGACCCTGAACTCTAAAATCTTAAAACCCTAAAACCTTCAAACCCTAAAACCCTAAACCCTAAGACCCTAAATTCTAAAATCCTAAAACCCTAAATACCCTAAACCCTGAAAGCCTGAAACCCTAAACTCTAAAATCCTAAATACCCTAAAACCCTAAACCCTATAAAACCCTGAATCCTAAACCCTAGAAATCTAAACCCCTAAAACCCTGAAAGCCTGAGACCCTGAACTCTAAAACCCTAGAAACCCTAAAAACCCTAAACCCTAAGACCCTAAACCCTAAACTCTAAAATCTTAAAACCCTATAAAAACCCTCAAGCCGCGCCGCCCCAGCAGGCCTCGCAGAAGTGAAGGCCTTCGCGCGAGAGGCGACCGACCGCACCGCGATCTTATCCAAGGCCCCCCGTCCCGAACGCTCTGGGGTTTACTAAAGGGGCCTTAATTACTACTATTTGCTTAAGAAACCCCCAAAAAATCAAAATAATAATAGGGTTTACCTGAGACCCAAACCCCTGGATCTTCTAGGACCAAGAGTAGGCCCTTATTCCCTTTTTGAGGGTTCAGGTTCCCTTATAAGCCCCTTTAAACCAAAAAGGGCATCCTTTTTATGCCTGGGTTACTCTTGGGTCTAGGTTTACTAAAGGGGCCTTAAGAATTTACTATAGGGGCCTTAAGAAGTGCCTGTACGATTTTGGTGGGGATTCCTTATTATAGTTATAGTATAATGCGCCCCCCCCCCCGAAAAAAAACCCTATTCTAATTATTAGGGCCCCTGTATTCGGGTTGAGGGTGTTTTGGTGAGGGTAGGGTTTAAGGGGGGTTTGGTAAGGGCAGAGTCTAGGTTTTTGATGGTTCGGAAATAGGTTTTAGGGCTTTAGGATTTGGGGTCTAGGGTGTGGAGTTCAAGGTTTAGGGTTTATTTAGTTCAGTACCTATGGCTTAACGGCCCGAAAAGGCACATTAACGTATTGATTTCCTGTTTAGGGTTTAGGGTAGCCTTCGAAGCAAGCCTGCAACTCTGCAAAAAGCTTCGAAGACGAAGATGCTACGCTTTGTTTCACAGGTGGGCAGCAACCCGTAGAGGGTGCAAAATTCTACCATTGTGGAATTTGGCAACTAGGCGACTAAATACCAATCCAATCATGCATGGTTTTGGAGGACTAAATCATTTAGCAAACCCAAACCCTCAACAAAAAAATCCTAAGCCCCTAAACCCCCAAAACCCAATTTCGCAACCCCAGACCAAAACCTCCAACCCGGCCTCGAAGAAGGAAAAAAAGAAGGAATCGTGCCTACTCTAATTGCTAAGGCCCCGATAGTAAGAGCCCTTATAGATGCCTATGGTAAGCGTTATAGATCCCAACCTTAAACCCTAAACCCCCCCAACCCCATAAAGGCCCCTATAAGTAAGAGCCCTTATCGATGCCTTACAGTACCCGCTATAGATCGGATACTGCCCCCACTCAGTAAGAGTTGGATAATATTCCTAACACAGATATATTAGGCCTCTAATAGTAGCCCTAATATAGACTGTTAGTGTATGGGGGCAGTATCCAAGTTATAGATCCCAACCTTAAACCCTAAACCCCATAAAGGCCCCTATAAGTAAGAGCCCTTATAGATGCCTTATAGTACCCTTATAGATCCCTTTAAAGGGAACCAAAGGAAGCATGCCCAGGAGCAGCTGGAACTGCGGTCCGCCGAGCTCAAGGCGAATCTTTGGTGTGGGTTTCTACAACGGGCGGCATACTTGGAGGATCATGAGACTTAGTAAGTTCAGTTATAAGTACTTTAATTGGGGTTATAAGTAATTATAAGTATGGAAACCTTATATAATTATAAGCCTAGTTGCTAAGTCCCATGATCCTTTAAGTAAGGGTGCTTTGCGGGTTCTTTAAGGGATCTACAGGGGCTCCTTCAAGGGATCCTTTAAGAACTTTAAAAGATTCTTTTTGGGGTTTCTTTAAGGTCAAGAATTTAGAGAAGGCTTTCCTGCAAGGCTTTCTTTGAAGGGTTCCTGAAAGGGTTCTATCTCTGCAGATCTGGAACAGAACCCTTGAGGGGCTCTTTTACAGGGTTCTTCGAGCGATTTGCGGGTTGAGGAATGGGTTCTGTGAGACGGATACGTAAGGGTCTTACATAAGACAAAAGTTCATGTTGAAGGGTGTCTCAACTTTGAGGCTTTTCGTGGTTTTTTATACTGTGCACAGGGCTGAGGGGCTTCTACAACGGTACTGTAGGCAGGTTCAGAATAGTCAGATTTCTACGATGGGTTTTGGGGCTAAAGGCTTCGAGAGCTTATGGGGCTTAGGCTTGCAGGTTGAGGGATTGGGGAGTGGGGGAGCTCGATCGTTGCAGGTTTTGTAGGGGTAGGGTTTAGAGGTTTTTGGGTTCAGGGCTTAAGATTCGGGTTTCGGGTTCAAGGTTTGAGGGCTGAGGGCGTTAGGGCCTTCAGTGAGCTTGGAGTCCTAGAGTTTAGGGGTAGGGTATTTAGGGGCTTAGTGTTAGGGTACATGAGTTTGACTACAGTACGTTGCTCTTGCCTCATTCAACCCTGAACTGAACTCTTCCCCCCAACCCTATGAATCCCGTAGCAATGTTGTTCTACATCCCCTGACAACCTGTTATCATCCTTCAGGCCCACATTCTCGCCGAACTTGAACTTGCCAAAACGATCCATGCATTCAATTCCTTTCGCAGGGTACCGCATTCAGGAGTTACATAAGGAAACTATAATTGGAGCAAGAAACCCTTAAAAGGTGCTTTTTGAAGGAAATTACCATCGGAATAAGGAAACCTTAAGAAGTGTGGATTTGTAGGTTCCAGGTAATTAGGCCCCGCAGACTCGCTGCCTCGACCTTTCTTCCCGCAAAGTCTGGTGCGGCAGAGAGGTGGCCTTCCTGGCTGTCGGGGTTTAGGGTTTTGGGGGGTTTGGGGGTTTAGTGTTTAGGGTTCAGGAGTTTAGGGGTTTAGGGTTTCGGGTTTAAGGGAGCCAAAGCAGGCAAGCAGGTGAAGACCAGGGTCAGATGTTTCGTTTGATCCAGGGCTGGGTCTGCGTAAGAAACCACCTCCTAGTCAACGTTGCCTACGAGGTGGCCAGGTCATCTGAGGACTCCTGCCTCAGCCAGCGCACCAAGGATGTCAAGCCCCCCAAAACCTCCAAACCGCCAAAGCACAAACTGCAACACTCTAAGATGTAATTAGGGTTATTGATTTCGGGTTTAGGGCTTAGGGGTAGGTTTAGGGCTTTAGGACGAACCACAACAACCATCCCTCGCCTCCCCCGAAGCAAGCCCAAAGAAAAGGGATCAACCTGCAAGGAACTCTTTGAGCGCCGAGCTACAGAGACATCAACGAAGCTCGAGGTGGGCTCCGTTTGTTTTTGTTGAGGTGGTCGGAGGGAGGGTGGGGGACTGTGGCTGGGATGGGGCGGTGCTACGGGGTTTGAGCGGGCAGTGCTTAAAGGTACTGTAGTAGAGTTCAATTCGAATTTCTGGTCAGGAACGGTGGAGTTGAGGGCATTGAAGGCTTAGGCTTGGGGGTTCATGCTTGGGTTTGGGGTGGACACATCCCAATCCTGATCTCCGATACCTTTCTACAGCGAGTTTGCATGCAACGACCATGCCAACCTGCCTGGAATGGTTTTGCAATGTTATGCATACAGCTGCTGTGACCGCTGTTGTTGACGAGGAGGCCCTCATTCTGCACCCACAAAGTTCCGTTGTCTCGAATTCGACAATAGCTCGCATGCGTCCGTGCTGGTCATGAAAGAGGTGATGCTGATGGCTCACTGACGATGACGAGGGCGACAAGGATGAGGATGAGCACCACGATGAGTATGATGGTGATGATAACCATAATGATCCTGATTATGATGATGGGGTCATGATGCTGTCAATGACGATGATGATGAATGATGACGGATGATGGATGCTGTCGATGATGATGGCCACGATGAGGTGATGAATGATGCTGAAGAAAATGTTGATTATGATGATTATGGTGACCATGATGATGCTAATGTCGGTGATGATGCCGAGTGTGTGTTGTTGATGTTGGTGATGATTCTGGATGATGGATGCTGCTGCTGATGATGAGGTCGATGGTGAAGATTACGATGATGAGTGATGATGTTAACGATGATGATGACGGTGATGATGATAATAGAGATGAAGAAGGAGCTGCTGATGATCGTTGATGATGATGATGATGATGTGGCGCTGGTGCTTGTGCTGGCTGTGGATGTGGATGAATCGATGAATGAATAATACTGTGGTCCGAAGTGGAAATATTCGCTCCATACAGCTCTACGCTGAAGGCTTAAACCTTAACCTCCCTCAATCCTTCCCACGCTTTATATCCCGATGCTTGAAACTCCACCCCTAAACCTTAAGCCCGCTCCCAAGCACTCGAAACGCTAAAGTCTTGAACCCCAAACCCTCGAACCCAAAACCGCAACCCCCCAGAGGCCGAAACCTCTAACTCCCTTCACCCTTAGAATAGGGATTTGGGGCCCAGCATACTATAAAAGCGCTACTGGAGTTAGGCTCCCAACCGTACTTTTCTCCTCCAGGTGTTGCGAGCCGCGGACACCGAGCGCAGTCAGGCTCTCGACCGACTGTCGAAGGCTGGAGCCCCCACCAGCTGACCTCGATGTCCGTTTGTAGGGGGCTAAAAAATTAGAATAGGGTTCCCTTTTAAAGGGGTCCTTTAAGGGGCTATTGTAACAGGGCTACTATGAGGACTTAATATAGGGGCCTTAATAATTACCTATGCTATTCTGGGGGGGGTTCCTTATTGTAAGTATAGCATAAAACCTCTCCACGCCCTGTTCGAATTATTAAGCGCTCCCTTCTTAGACAGTCCCTCCAAGGATTTGGGTTTTCAAGAGTTCCTTTATGGGTTTGGGTCTAGGGTTCCTTGAGTTCCTTTCAGGAGATAGGTGTAGGGTGCCTTTGATGGTTCCTTGAAGGGTTTGGGTGTAGGGTTCCTTTAAGAGTTCCTTTAAGCGTTTGGGTGTAGGGTTCCTTTGAGAGTTTCTTTAAGGTTATGGGTTTTCTTTGAAGGGTTTGGGTTTAGGGTTCTTTTCCTGGGAGGGCTGCTAGAAAGGATCCTGTTGAAAGGATCCATAGGCCTTTTGTACGGGTTTCCTGCAAGGTTTCCAGTAAGCTTCTCGCACAGCCGTAAAGGGTTCCTTTCAGAGCTTAGGGATGCGTAATGTTGCTCCTGAGCCCTCCAATGACTTCGAGTAGTATGGAGCCCTTGATGCGTAGAACGGGGTTTTTCGAATGGGTTCCGCAAGGTCTCGTCTAAGGTCTGCACAATGTTGTCTTGGCCTTTATAAGTGTTTCATAGGGTGTTTACACTTACCTTTGGCTAGTAGGGAATGGATGAATGGTAGTAACAGTAGTTATAATTGTACCCCATTCCTCCATTCCCTACTAACCAAAGGTGAGATATAGGATTAGTAAGGCCCCTATATTATAGTACCCTTATAGACCCCTTTACAAGGCTCCTTCCATTCCCTACTAACCAAAGGTAAGTACAGTGCTTGTTTGGGATCATGTCCAGGTTGCCCAGTAGTGCCCTTGTAGTTAGTTTGATTGCATTGGGGGGCGCCGTATTCATGCTGAATATTCGTAAACGGGGCACGCTAAGTGTGCTCTAGGGGATAGGGGTTGCAGGTGCAGGTTCTGGAATTGATTGGTATCTTGCTGCGGAGTTCGAGAATTTACAGTGCCGTAATACAGAAATCATGCTATTTACTAAATATCCCTGGTGTGGTCGGGTAGCTCAACACAACATCCTAGCCAGGAATCCAGGTTCAGGGTCTTCAGGGCTCTAGGGTTGTAGCGTTGCGGGGTTCATGGGTCGAGGGCCTCGGGTTTTAGGGCTGCGGGTGGATATCCTAAACAAAACCTAAATAAGAAGCCCGCAAACCTTGACTGCGACGCCGGAGGTGTGTGCGGAGCAGAGTGAAGCGCGGAAAGGCGTTGAGCTCAGGGGTTGGGTTTTTCGGTTGTAAGGTTTCTGGGTGTCGGGCTCAGGGTTCAGCAAATGGGCGTTCATTGATGCGAACTAGCGTTGGGTTTTAAGATTTCGAGGTGAGGGCTGGCAACTTCGTGGTTTCAATGATTGGGCTGGGTCTTGGGTGCAGCCAAGGTTGGGTTGGATGTACAGGAGAAGCCAGAAAGTTGGAACATGGGTTTAGGAGGATTAGTGCTAGGATCCCTTATATTTTACTTTAGGCGCATGAGGATGCTAATGTTCCAACTTTCTGGCTTCTACCAAAGATGTAACGGCCTCCAGGGTTAGGAGCGCCTCAGCCTGACTGTATCCTGCGAAGCACTTGTTCTTGATGGCGCCAAAGTAGTTCCTTTTGAGGGTTCATATACAGAATCCTATAGGGTAATCCCAAAAAGGAACTAGTATGGGGCCTCTGGGTATTGGTGAGTGCCTGACCGCGTCATTTTCCTTAGCATACCCTTCTGTTTTGAACTGGATCACCTTCCTAGGCAGCCATCGGCAAAGCATAGACTCAGACTCCATCACCCTAAGCTGGAAGCCCTGAACCCTAAACTTAAAACCCTGAAAAAGCGATGATGGCTCCTAAGTATCTACGAGCTGCTGGGGTTTGGACTTTCTGAGCCTTTCAGGGTGCAAGGGTTTTTCGGACGGTTTAGGGATGTTTAGGGTTTAAGATTCAGGTTTAAGGGTTTAGGGGTTTAGGGCCTCCAAGTTGAAAGGTGTGGATTTAAGGTTAGGGTTTCAGGGATGAGGGTTTTGCCGCTTTGGGGTGTAGGGTGTTTAAGCCGCAGGATTTCAGGTTTTCGAAATTTGGGTGTCGCAATTTCGGGAGGATTCCTGTAGTAGTATTGCTCGTTTTCGAAAATTTTTGGTGTCGCAATTTCGGGAGGACTCTTGTAATTTTCAACAACAGTAGAGCATGGATCAGGTCGGCGCTTTCGCAGCGTGTAAGAGGAGCAAAACTGGCAAGCATTGCAGCCGGGATTCCGACTTCGACAGCCGCCATCATCATTCATCATCACCGCTCCCTCATCTTCTTCTGCAGCTACATTACTATCCCCAAACCGCAGCAATAGCAGATCGCTGAGCCACCACCCTAAGGGCTCAAAGGACCCAATAGTAAGGTACTCGGGCTTAGGATAGTAGTTGAGTATATGATAATTAGGTACTTGAACCCTTAGGGCCAGGTTTGAAGGTTGATTTGGTGTGTTGGGGACCCACGAGCTGCAGGGTTTGAGGTTTCAGCGGCTTCGTAACCTTGCGGGTGTTTATTCTAAACTGGTGCCAGGGTTTAGAAAGGTGGCTCTTGTTGCAGCCTTAAACCCAAAAAGCCTAAGATTCTAAGACCATAAAACCCTAAACCCCAAAACCCCCTAAGGCCCTAACCCTAAAAAGCTTAAATCCTACACTCCCAAACCGTTAAACCCCAAAACCCTACTCCTAAACCCTAAAACCCCTAACCCCAAACACCCTACACTCCTAGACCCTTACAACCAACCCCCCAAAACCGCCCAAACCCTGCGTTCATAAACCCAAAAGTGCAGGCATCGTGGCAGATGTCGAGCACTGCCAGTCCAGCGACAGGCGTGTCTTTGGACTTGACTTGAGCGCTTCGGGGATTTAGGGCTTGGGTGTTTGGGGCTTGGCGCTTGGGCTTTGGGTTTAAGTTTAGGGCTTAGGGTTTACATAGGGTTTAGGGTTTAGGGCTGGGGGCTTAGGGTTAGGGTTTTGGGCAGGGTTCATGTATACCCCTGGATACTGACCCGCAGCTCAAGGCACACATGTTTCGGCAATCCGCGGTTGAAAGCAGGCCATGACGAGACTTATGACTCAGGACTGTTGTTTCTGCATGTGCTTATCCATGGTGCTAGTGGAACATCGCAAGGTTGGAAATGAGTTTTTTGAGGCATTTGCAGGTTTGGGTGTCAAGGATTTCGGGCTCTGGGGTTCGGATGAGCAGTAACCGGGCTTCTCGGGGCATGTTCCGTTCCTCTCCTAGCCTAAGTACCAGAAGTGTATTTCTAGATAGTTGGTTGGATAGGTCGATAGATAGACAGAAAGAGATAACTGAATATATCCCACTCCTGCTCCAAGCAAGTTGGAGAGGCAACTTGAGGATGCACTGAAGCGCGTCGACGCAAAGGCCGCCGGGTTGGGGTTGACTTTACGGTTGAGTGCGAAGTCAGATGGGTGGTTGTCAATGTTAGGCTCCCTTTTGGAGTCCTTATTATAATACGGCACCTAATATTTAAGGTGCCCAAAAAGGGACCATAATTTTGACAACCACCCAATCTAGAAGTTGGATTCTGGGTTTGGAGATGTGTTTTTCCCTGCTAGTGGCGGCTCCGTAAGGCGCTCTATTGTCTATGGTCAGGGTCTTATAAGGGTTGTTAAGCGGTTCAGTGTACAGGGTCTACTTTGGCAGCAATCACCAGCGCTTCAAGTGCTGGGCCCCACAATGCAGGGCTCGTTGGCCGACCGCTTTGTAGGATTTGGGCTGCAGGCATTTTAACTGCTCTTGTTTGCCACCTACTGCAGGCGTTGGTTGACCTGGCCAATGACAAGAAATGGTGAGTGATTCCTTCAGCAGTCATGAGCTGATGCTTGGAAGGGAACCACGGGCTTGCATACCGGAACTAAACCCAAATCCCTCGATTCATGGTTCTGTCGGGTGTGCATTCCGCAGGAGGTTGCAAGCAGGCGCTGCAATGACGGGACGATGGAAGTCGGTCCGAACAACACGTTCTTGTTGAAGGGTCTCGGCCCCTTCAATGAGAATGCCTCGCCGAACGCCACGGGCATTGAACACTTTCCAGCCCAGCTCCACGTGGAAGTCAAGACCGGGGAAGGGAACCGCCAGAAGATCTACAAAGCTTCCTCCGGCGACACTGTCGAGCTGGTGTTCGAGCCGCCGAACATGAATGGGCGGCTCACAGCAGCGTTACGTCCCCGCCTTCGCTTGAGACCGTACTATCAATCACCGAACACCCAAGCCGATCCTACATCCCGAAAGTTCGAGAACCCTATATAACCCCTTCACCACCAAAAGACCTAACCTCCAGCCCAGCAATCCTATTCTCCAAACTCTGAGCCGTAAAAAGCGCTTGACCCTACGATCCCCTGGACCATCAGATACCCCCCAAACCCGCCAAAATGGCCTTGCTGCCCTGAACCCTTAAACCTGGAGCCTAAAGCTCGAACGTGCTGAAAGTTCCAAAAACACTCCCCAAACCCTGAGCCTTCTAGACTCGTAGAGTAAAGTCTAAAGCCACCAAACCGTCGTCTTATGAGGTGGAGTCTGCCGCCTCTGTGGCGGCGCAATGCACCGAAGGCCGCTTCGAGATGTCCGGTCGGTGTATGAAGGGGGGGGGGGGGGGCTTCGATTAGGGCCTGGGGTCCCAAAAGGGTTCTATATAAAGGCTTCTTTGCGATTAGGGGGGGTTGGGCTTTATAGATTTAAGGGTCTCAACTGCTTTCGGTTTAGGTTTCTTGGAAAATCTCGGATTTGGGGTGTTCTAATGGCTTTCATGGTGGTCTTGCAAGGGATGTTGTGTGGAGTGTTCTATCTTAGTGCGGAGTTGTTCTAAAGGCGCATACGACCTGGGCTGCCAACTACGGTCCTACGCGCACACCAGCCAGCACTCATGATGCAACCACACCCTCAAGCCCTAAATTCCTAGAATGCTAGACGTGCAAGCCCAACAAAGGAAGGATCTGCGAGAGAAAGTCCCACTGCAGCTTGTGCAAACAAACTCGACGCCTAAAGGGCTTAAGCGCTGGACCCTGTAGGCCCCACCCGTAATTAACATCCAACCCCGAAACCCTAAAACCCTGAACCCTAAACTCCTAAACCTGAACTCGGCAGGTGTCGCCGAGGTCCGCGTCTTTGCACGAGAGGCCGTGGACAAAGCATCCACGCAGAGCAAGGCGGGGCTTTTCGGGGAAGACGAGTTTAGGGTTTAGGGGTTTTCACTGTTAAGAAAAAAGAGACTACCAAGTAATGTGGGAGCCTAAAAATTCAGGAGCCCCAAAATGAGGCGATTACATATTTAGGCCCCAGAGAATCACCAAAGATGGTGGTAGTTGTTGATTGCCTCATTTCCTTCCGAGTCGAGGTTTTAGGTGCGCTGAAGGATTCCGGTGTTGTAGCAGTTCAAAACACTTGTCTCCAAAGCAACTAGGTTCCCGTCCCGTTTAATCAGGACTTTCTTACAGGGCAGCGGGTTTTCCGTGGGACTTCCTGTGTCAAAATACGAGCAATAGTCCGCCCTTACAAGATTAGGAGAAGCTTTTTCTGCACCGCCCTCGAAAGCAAGGGGTACCATCGAATGTCGTGTTGCTCGAAGGGTTGCCTCTCAAGTCCATATGTCGCTGGAGCAGACGACTTGAAAGCAATATAGAAGTCTGAATATCTGGACACTCGGAGCCCCAAAACCCCGAACCCTAAGAAGAAAAACTCCAAATCCTAAACCCGAACCCCAGACTTTGAACCCTAAACCCTAAACCCTACCCTAAACTCTGAATCCTGAGCTCTGCGCCGTAAACCCCCAACCCTGAGCTCTGCGCCCTAATAGGGTCCTTAATAATTAGAATAGGGTTTTGGGGGTACTTATTTAGGCCCCGACATTCTATCACCAACAATTACCTAGAGTCTCCATTGTAGTTCCTTTTTTGGTTAACCAGTTTTTATGGTTAGGACTCCAACATAGAGATTTTGGTCAACCAAAAAAGGAACTACAATGGAGACTAACTATAGGTAGAATACGGTTTCGGGGCCCATTATACTCTAACAATAATACGGAGCTCCAAAATAGTATAGGTAATTATTCACTTTAAGGATCCCTGAAAAGGAACCCTAATTATTTGGGCCTCTCTATAGTGCCGTAAAAACCCGGAACCCGGGCTCTGTTTCTAGGAACTCCTCGAGCTCCGCTCGGCAGAGCTGAAGGCTGCAACCGCTTCTTTTGGGGGTTGGTTTGGCGGTTTTAGCATTTAGGGTTTAGGGGGTTCGGGGTATTGGGGTTTAGGGGGTTCGGGGTCTTGGGATTTGAGGTTTAGGGGTTTAGGGTCTAGCATTTAGGGCCTGAAGGGTATAGCAGGCAGGATGTAGGGGTTACGGTTGAGGTTTTGTTGGGGTTAGTCTTCAAATGAGTTTATGTGGGCTTATGATGAGGTTTATAGATCTGTCTTGGTTGCTAGTTGGTCACATTTGTTTTTGCAAAGTGGCTGTTGAATAGGGAGTTGCTCCATAGGGATATGTAGTCCAGATTCGAGAGGGTCTACGATGGTTTGTCGGTTAGGGCTTTGGAGGTTTAGGGCTTAGGGCGTACGTCTGGGCTTCGCGATTTGGAGATCAGGCCTGAAAAGGAAAAATCATGGCTTTGCCTGTAGCTTTTCCTCTGGCTCCAGCCCCTCGGCATAAACAGTCAGGATTTTCAGGGGCCCTCATCTTATCAACCTTTCACCTTTGCTGGGTAGTATATCCTCCGTATGATCCCAACACGGTTACCAAAGATTCTCGCAAGAGGTGGGTTGTGGAACAAGAGGTGAGGTTTATAGGGTTTATAAGATCTCGGATTTAGGGTTTGAGAGTTTCGCGTTGTGTTTGAGAGTTTAGCGCTCCCACTTCCACATTGCCCGTTCTTCCAGTTTCACGGGACTTGAGAAGTGGGGTCTCGCAGATGAAAAGGGTTTAGGGTTTAGGGTGTAGTTTTAAGCAGGATTAGAAGTCGAAAGAGGACGTCAGGATGGCACCTTCCGGTACAGAATCCTGCGCACGGAATCCTTAGAGCCACTGTAGCACCCTTCCGGTTGAGCTCGGCCGAATCTCTGCCTTGTCTCGGCGACTACTTGATCAGCGGCAAGAGGGATGTCATGGGCCCCATCTTGGAGGTATTCAGAGTCCACCCTCTGGTATTGCTCGATCAGTTTCGGCGCAGGCCCCCGAGCCCAAGGCAGAAGGTCTGGACATTCTCCGGGCCTTCGAGCAGCGCGTGTTTGCGAGACGAGCACTACGGCCAGGCAACGTGCTTTGCACAAAGTGGTGCCTCCACAATCTCCACGGATTTGCGGTTTAGCGCTTTAGTGTTTGAGATTTGGGTGGTCCGGTGGAGAACAATGATCGGTATCCCCCTCAACAAGAACGTCTTAATCATCACAGACAGCCACGTTGGGGTTGAAGGTCTGTGGTGGTAAGAGTTATGCGATTCTTGCCTTTAGCCCCGGCATCGCAAGCCATCAACCCCCCCATGTTATTGAGTTTGGAGAGTTTAGGGCTTACAAACCCCTGATATCCATCCGACTGACTTTATCATGAACCATGAGTATAATCTAAAGTCGTTCAGGGCTCTCGCCTTAGGGTTTGAGGGTTGAGACTCTGAAGTCTTGGGTCCCACATCGCAAGCCCAGGAAGGCTTCCAGCTTGGGGTTCAGAGTTTAGGGCTTCGGGGCATCACCCTCTTTGCATTCTTCGTGAGCAGGATAAGTATGCAAAGCTGAGAGGGTTCATAGCTGCAGCCTGTACTATACATGAGGCTGTGTTTGTTTCAAGCCTCTTGCCTAGTGCCTATCTGGCTGAAGACCATGGTTCGTTGTGTAGGGTGAGCCCGGATAAGTATGTTTTAAAGCTGAGGATTTCCAGGAGGTCTGAACAATTGGGAGTTGCAGGTTCCTGGCTCCTACCCCATAAAGCCCAGGAAAGTTTAGTCTTCTAGGGTTCAGGATTTAGGCTTACACGCCGGCGTTGTAGCATATGCACTAACATATGTACAGATTTAGGCTTTGGGAGGGCCCCCGAAACCGCCCGATTTGCATGCTGGCCTGCTCTGCAGGCCCAAATGACCAGACTACACGAAGAGCTGTCGAAGCAGACCTCGAAGGACTTAGCAGAGCTGAGGTTTAGGGGTTGAGGGGTTATTGGGTTTGAGGGTTTATGGGTTTAGGGGTTGAGGGTTTAGAGCAGGGTTTAGGGCTGCGGGTCGAGCAGCTCTTAGACTGTATAATTCTCATTGTTCGTTCTGTACGCAGTTGTAAGATCCACACCATGGCAATGCAGGATCTTACGTGAGGTTACTTTTTGGAGGGGCTCTTGAAGGGCTGTATAGGGAAAAGATTGGGGTCGACCAGGATTCTGACATAGTTTAGGGCAAACGTGCTTGGCTTTCTGTCGTTGCACTCCAAGACGCAAGCCTGAAGTGCCTGAGCAGTTTGGCCGTCTTCAATCGCCCAAGCTCCCCATAAACCTTAAGCCGTGAAGCCCTAAACCACAAACCCCGAGCCCGAAAATTCCTCCTCAACCCTAAACCCGAAACCCCAAATCCCTAAAACCCCTAAACCCCCCAGAAGATGCCTTTGGAGGAGCTCCAAAGTCAGAGCCACTCCCTGGCAGAGCTCTCCCGGCGCACGGAGCAGCGTGCAGAAGCCCTGCAGGCGTGTTCGCTTCAAGGTTTAGGGTGGGTTCGTTTAGTTGGGTGGTTGTCTAAGTTAGGGTCCTTTTCGGGGTACCCTAAGTATTAGGTGCCGTATTATAATCAGGACCCAAAGGGAGGATTTTGGTCTGGTAAACAGGGGCCGTGTGTTTAGATAGGGCTTGACAACCAGGAACTGCATACGGGCTGCGTGTAGTACAGAGGTCTGAGTAATTGGCTATGCAGTTTGCTCCCCTAAACCCCTAAGCCCTAAACCCTAAACCCCTAAACCCTAAACCCCAAAACCCTAAACCCCAAAACCCTACACCCAGATCTAGCTCTTGTTATGAGAAGTCCGCTATAGTAGGATCCTGCAGGGGTCATACAATGAGCTATGAGGAGCAGTCTATTTGTTCTCAAAATGTCGTTGGGATTGAGAGATGGTTCCGGGTTGAGAGAACGTCACGGATCACAATTGGGCTTAGGGTATATCATGGTATGTTGATATATAGGCCTCGGAAATTCATGTAGGGATCTGGCTTCCTTGCCTACATTGGGGGGTCTTAGCCATAAGGAAAGGAGCTGCGCTGGAGATGATACGTCTTCTCATTTCCCTAGACGGTTTCGGGTTTAGGTTTTAGGGGGTTTAGGGTATAGGGTTTAGGGACTCTGAAGTGAAGCCCTTTTGTCGAAACCCAAGTGAGACATACATTCCAAATATACGGCCCAAACTGCCGTCCCTAAACCGACACACTTAAACCCCACACTCTACACCCTAAACCCTGCACCCTCATGCAGCAAGACCCCGCAACTGCAAACTGTACATTCTCATGCAGCAAGGCTGCGCAACTCAAACCCTACGCCCTAGACCGCCCAGCCCCTAAAGCCCTCAACCCTAAACCCTAAATTCCGAAATCCCTAACCCCCTAAACCCCTGAGCCCCTGAACTCGAAAAGCTCATTAAACCCGAAACCAACAAGAAGAGAACCCCTAAACCCCAAACCCGGAGAAGCTCATATCCGAGTCTCCAAGCCCTCGGCTCCTTCAAAGGAGCTACTTGAGCGCCGATGCAGTGACAACGCCTCGAAGGTGGAGGTTCCGTTTAGGGGGTTAGGGTTGCTTTTAGGGGTTTAGGGCTCCTTTTAGGGTTTTGGGCTTTTTTTTGGGGTTCGAGTTCCTCTTCGGGTTTATGGTTTCTTTGGTTCCGGACTTCTTTTGGAGGTTAAGGTTTCTTTCAGGGTTTAGGGTGCCTTTCAGGGTTTAGGGTTTAGGGTTCGTTTTGGGGTTCAGGGTTTCTTTGGGGTTCTAAGGCTTAGGGGAACTTGTCTGGGTTTCCATCGGTATCAGTCGAAGCTCGCCTGGAACGAAAGATCCAAGATGGGAAAGACGAGATCACGTTCCTTCAGTTCGAGCGAGCGTTCCGAGAATTTGGACATCAAATGTTGCTGCCGGCTTTAGCGAGGGCCTCGAATGCGTTACAGTGCATTGGTTTGGGGTGTTTTCCCGCCCAGAAGTGGGTACTCACTTTCTTAACGTACTCGCTTCGTGGATCGGGCATCGGCGAAGCCAGTGCCCAGGCACTTTCAAGCGTTTCTTAACAGGGGGGAGCTGCGCTAACACCGCCAATTTGGCAACCCACCGGAAGTGGATTCAATCTTGACCATTCCAGGTCTGTGTAGGAGTTTTGTTGGATTCGGTTTCAGAGGATTTGGGGATCCCACATTGTGGGCTGGGAGTTTTGCCACCCAAATCCATTATGGGATATTCTTCGGCCCTGTTAAAGTATTCCCTTTACATAGACACTGTGATGCCAAAGTATCTACTACATGAGCATCTGGATCCTTGGGGTAGTCTAGGATGCCCAGTAGTACCCTTATTCCCTTTTTGTAGTCCTAAATTCCTTACTAAGGTACCCAATACCAAAAAGGGAGCCCTTTTTTTTTCCTAGGTTACTGGGCATCCTAATAATACAGTGACCTTGGCAGTTGGATCATATTCATAGTGTATATATATATATATATATATATATATATATATATATATATATATATGTATATATATATATATACATATATATATATATATCATATCTTTATATATATATATATATATATATATATTAGGACCTTAATAGTAGCCCTATTATAGACTGCTTCTGTATGGGGGCAGTACCCAACATTGACCACAAGTATTTCTGATCGCAGGGCCTGCGCCTTGCAGACGTAGAGCAGCAGCAGCAGCTCGAGAACGTCTCCAAGGCAGGGGCACGCCGTGGTCTGGGGGGCATAGTAGGGTTTTATGGTGGAACTGTACCGATTCCGAGTCCTACTACCTACATAATTACCGTGTACATGAGACCTTGCTAAAGCCCTTCCCTCAGCTCTTCATAGGTTCTAGGGTTCTAGGCTCTAGGGTTTCCATCAAACCACAAGCCCTATATCATAACTCTAGTGGCCAAACAGGAGCTCCTGCCGAGCAGGTGGAGCCTTTGGAAGCAGGTGCTCCTGCTGAGCCGAGAGCTCACAAGCGAGTGATATACGGACACGGATGGTTTATGATCGCACATCCAAAAAACTTCTGATTCTATGGGCGGCAATGCAAGCAACGGAGATGAACGCATCCTCGATACGGCCCTGCGGGAGACGGTACACCTAAGGGTTTTGAGATTTAGGGTTCCGTGCTCAGGGTTCTATGACGGTGCCATCCCAACTTGATACTAAGGGCCTGGGCAATTATCAATACTAGTCTTCAGGGTTTCTTATTGCAACTGACTTTAATATGAATAAATCTATATATATATATATATATATATATGTCTATTGCATCAAGACCCGTATTCCTTCGGGTTTTGGGGTACTCTACGAGTTCAGGGTTTCGGGTGTTGGGCTTGAAGTTCAGGGTCGTTTGTTCAGGGTTTAGGAGGTTTCGGGCTAGAGGAATTAGCGGATTGGGGTTTAGGGCGTTTTATGGTTTAGGGCAAAGTTAAAGGAGGATATGTCTTACAAGTACAAGCGGAGGTCCTTTTTTTGCACGAGTAGGGGTTTCTTTTACAAGGTTTAACTAAGGTACTTAAATGGTTCTATTGGAGGTGTGGCTCGCGAGAGAAATTCTATCTAATCCACATGACGCCTTTAGTACGGGAGCCTCATAGTGGCCTTCACGAACAAAGGTCCTTCGTGCAGGAGCAAAGGGGCCTCAAAGTTTGAGAACCACATGTCTTGCCGTGTCCGTTTGAGAACAAGGGTGAGGCCTTAGGTTCAACACCACGGTAGTATGCTCTCTTGGCACCTCGAAGCCCTATTCTAGTAGAAGTTAGCACAAGGGTTAAGTGTGCAAGGTTTGAGATTTGTTGTTGTCACGTCCTAGCTCGGGTTTAAGAATACACCTTATGAGCGTATGACCATAAACCCCCTAAGCCCCGAACCGCGAACCTTGCGAAGTGGCTCTTTTGCCGAATGTTTACGCTGAAATGCCTGGACCCTTGGCAGCTTCCCCAAAGGCTCCATGTATCCCTTTAGTATATACCTATACCCTAAAGTACCCACAAAGGAACCCCTTGAAGGCCCCAGTATATACAATATGGGCACATGGCGCCTTAGGGTTCAGGTGATAAGCGAGCCCAGAGCGAGGGCTGAGGGTTTCAGGTAGAGACTTTACGGGTGAGGGTTTAGGGTTGAGGGTTTAAGCTTTCGTGTACAGTTCGTTCGGGTTTAGGGTTGAGGGTTTTTAAGCTTTCGTGGTCGTGTACAGTTCGGGGTTTAGGGTTGAGGGTTTAAGCTTTCGGGTTCGTGTACAGTTCGGGGGTTTAGGGTTGAGGGTTTAAGCTTTCGGGTTCGTGCACAGTTCGTTCGGGTTTAGGGTTGAGGGTTTAAGCTTTGGGGTTGAGGGTTTGGGGTTGTGGTTGAGGGTTTCGGGTTGAGGGTTCTGGGTTTAGGGTTTTCTGTTGCCGGATCTTCATATGAAAACACCAGACAACCTAATAATCGAGCCCTTCAGAAGGAAGGGGGTTTGGGCTCCCTAGGTGGACAGTAATTTGGAAGCCCCGCTACACCTGAAGGCAAAACTCTCAACAGGTGCTGCTACCCCAAATTCCGCGGACGAAACCCTTTAAACCTTAAGCTACCCCAAGGCCCCAAAGTAGTTCCGTTTTGGGGATCATGTACAGAATCCTATTAGGTAATCCCAAACAGGAACTACTTTGTGGCCTATGGGTATTTACCTTGAGCTAAATCCACCCAGCCCGAGATCTGGATCCTGGACCCCCCGTACTATAGGAGTCCTGCACCCCAAGGCTCAAGCCCTACAAACCCCTACTAATGTAGGGATGTTAGTGCTTTTGCTATTATTAGTACGACTAGTATTGTTAGTACTACTACGATTTTTAGTACTACTATTATGACTACTATTACAACTATTATGCTAGTACTACAAGAACTGGTTATTGGACTTCCTGTTGGATTTTTCAAGCGTTCCACTGGAGAGGCCTGCACCGACATGTCACAAGCGCAGAAAGGCAGGGCCCCTTTCCACAGACTTCGATGTTCTGAACCCTGTGAATGCTTTATACTGATGCGTCCGCACAGCACCACTTTTTCGAACCTTGCAGCTTTGGGTGCTACCTTGCTGTCGGCTTTACACTCGTATGGTGGCGGGAGGGATGCGGTTCTGAGGATATAGAGCTTTGAGGTTTAGGGCAGGGGGCTTTGATCCCACATCCTAACCCGAAGCCTGCAAGCTTGAACCCTCGCCCTGACTCTAAACCCCTCAACCCTAAACCCTATATCCTAAACACTAACCCTAATCTCTTGAAGTCTTTGCGTTGAGTGCTACTATATGGATGGTTGTCAAATTATGGTCCCTTTTTGGGTACCCTAAATATTAGGTGCCGTATTATGTCAAGGATCCAGAAAGGGACCATAATTTTGACTCAAAGGGGAAAAGGAGGGACCCTTAATAAGGACCCCTAGGTATATACCCTTAATATAGCTATCATATACCCATTATACAGCCCATTATAGGGTAGGGGTCCCCATTAAGGGTCCCTCCTTTGCCCTTTTGATTGACAACCACCTATATGCGGAGATTCGGAACTGTCAGCCGCTTCGAACCCAGGGCCCCGTGTTGGGCGTTTAGGGCTTGGGGTGCGTTGGGTTAGGGTTTTAGGGTTTTAAGGTTTAGGGCTTCAGGGTTTTAGGGTTTAGGGCTTGGGGGTGCAGTAGGTTTAGGGCTTCGGGTTTTAGGGTTTTAAGGTTTTAAGGTTTAGGGTTTGGGGATTTCGGTTGAGGGCTTGGGGTGCATTGGGTTTAGGGATTCGGGACTCAGGTTTGGGGATTTGGGTTCAGGGCTTGGGGGTGTAGGGCTTCGGGATTCAAGGATTTGGGTAGGGCTGAGGGGTTTAGGGGTTTAAGCATTTTTTGGTTTAGGGTCTTATTTAGGTGTTTAGGGGTGCGTGGGAGCCAGTCTCAGGGAAGTTTCTGTCGGGTATCCGTATGCCGAGACCCCGGAGCCCCGATACCGGACTTGGGGTTGGTGATCTTCAGTCCAAGGGTAAAAGGAGGGGCCCTTAATAGGGACCCCTAGGTATATACCCTTAGTATAGCTACTATATACTCATTCTATAGCCCATTATAGGGTAGGGGCCCTTATACAGATCCCGCCTTTGCCCCTTTGATGGAAACGCGAGCTATGATCGCAAAGGTAAACCCTAGACTCTTAACCCTAACCTCAAAGGGGCAGATTCCTTTCAGTGTGAAGCCCCCCTCACCTTCTGAACCCGAGCCCCCTCGCGCCTTACTTAAGGCTTAGGGGGTTGCGGCCGACTAGCTTCGGGAGCTGAGGTTGGAGGATACCCCCGGGGGTGCAGCCAGGTCCTACGAGATGCAAATATCCCTTGAGGAATATACTTGAGTATACCGTAAATTGTAGTAGGATCCCTGATATGATTTACGGTATATATATATATACATATTTCCTTAATTAAGGGATATTGGAGTCTCTGGGTCTTCAGAGCTTCGCAATTCCTCAGACGGTCGGGTCTGTAGTCTTAATTCTGGGCCCTGTCCAGAGCCACGACCTTGGATACCACTTCTTCAATCATCCACCTGCAGATGGGAGTTTTCGAAAATTAGGGGTACCTTATTTGGGGGTCCTTATAATAAGGATCCTACTTTCTAGGGTACTATATTAGGATTATTATTAGGGTCCCCTGTTTTCGGAAACTCCCAGATAATCCAGATCACGCACCGTGGCTGAGCATCTCATGGCTCTGGGAAAGGAAGCAGGCGCCAAAGTCATACGGGTAGGTATCAAAATTATGGTGCCTTTTTGGGTACCCTAAAGATTAGGTGCCGTACTATAATAGGTACCCCAAAAGGGGACCATAATTTTGACAACCACCCCATCTGTCAGGTGGAACCTAATGCCCTAGCAATTATCCTTTTCGGCATCAGGGGGTCGGTGAAGGGCAGATCTGTGCTCACGTTCATCGACAGCGGCCCATGTCGCTTAAGGTTCGTCAGACGATACTTGGAGGTTCATGGGTAGTTATAAGTAGGGTTATGAGTAGGGTAACTATACTTGTATGCCATATTAGGGGACTTATTAACCCCACTTATAACCACCCATGAACCTCCGAGTACTCTCCTTCGAGGAGCCTGCTGCGTCTGATATCACTTGTGGCTCTGCTCGAAGGTTCGCTGGAGGCAGATCTGGCGGGTGGACCCCGATGTGTCATCGTCGGAACCGGAGCGAAGCAGGGATGAGGATTCAAGGCATGAGGGGAGCCAGAGCCAGATTAATGCAAGAAGAGCCGCCCCGATTGTCTCCAAATTTCCTACACCCCTGCAACGTAACACTAAACCCCCACAATGCGAGAGCGCCGTTTTGGTCTCGAACCTCCCGGGCCAGGCATCCTTCTGGAGCTGGAGAAGTCCCAGTCTGCTGAGAGGCGCGGGACTGGGGCTCCGAATTCCCAAATTAGGGGGAAAGTGTAGCGTTCCAGCTTAGGGCTGAGGGTCGCTATGGAGACTATCGATATAGGCTCAGGGTCGATATTTGGGTCCGATTAATTATTTATCCATTTTTAATGGGTTTGCATGACAGGTAATCGTAACGCATCCCGTTATGAGTCCCTACGGCTTCGGCCCCAAAGACCACTCCATCAGACAGATAGTAAACCCTAAACCCTAAAGAGCCATTTTGGCTCAAGCCGTATGGCCCGAACCCGAAAACTTGTTCCCTGTGTCCCTGTTTCAACCACGACCTGCCATTGTGAGTGGGGCGGCCAGTCCTTCTTCCCCCTGGGCGTGTTCTCTTCTGGGCGCTCTCGTGAGGGGCGACATCGTGATCCGGCGGCCACTTCCTCTTTAAGGCGGGTGTGATTCAGGTCTTTGTCGTCTTGGTTGGTGGTGATCAGCGCATTGGGGCGACTTTCCATTGGCCGTCATCGCTTTCTCCTTCTTCGCTGTGCTGTGGAGCTGATCTGGAGGGTGACGTCTTCGTCGAGGTCTTCTACAAGTACGTGCTTCCTCCTAGCTTCAACGTCTCGTCATGACGACCGAACTCAAGGAGGGAGAGAAGGAGATGGAGGTGGAAGAGGTTGACTCCCCAACCGAGCTGGCCGAGGACTCAGATGTGGGAATCGAGCCGAAGATTGAGAAGACCGAGAAGAGGAAGAGGAGTGATCGGAAGAGAAGAGGCCGTGACCGACTGTCCGAAGTGCCAGGATCTGAGAGCGAGGAAAGTCCCACCAAGCGACCGCTGCGTACCGACGATCAGCCCATTTCTGGACGTGAACTCCGGGCCCTCTTGCTTGACCACAGGCAGGATCTCAAGGAGGCGTGGAAGGAGTTTGAGGACCGCCTGGGGAAAGTTGAGCTCTGCCAACGCAAACAGTCAGGGGAGATTACGTCCAATGCGGGCCGGATCAAAGTGCTGGAGAAGGATGTGGCTGGAGCGAAGAAAACTGCATCGGCGTCAGAAAAGAAGGTTGATAAGCTCGCCGAGGAAGTCGCCAATCTCAAGGTCCAGATGGGCGAAGTCAAGCAGGGAGTGAGTGAGATCGCTGTTGGTCACAAGTCTGCTGCCATGGAGGGAGGAAATGGTGCTGGTGGAATCGGATTTACGGCCTTGGATCCATGGGCGGAATATCTTCGTCGCAAGCCTGAAGGAAGTGGAGGACCAGCTGCCGTACCTGGAGGATCTGGTCATCTACCACAAGGGGGCGAAGTTGCGGAGGGACTGTCTGACGAAGACAAGAGAACCCTCATCCTTGGCGGGTGGCTACAAGACACACGGCGGGCGACCATCGAGGAGGAGTCTCTCCCTTTGTTACAGCATGAAACGGTTCGTCCCTACCTTGACGTTGAGAAGCTTGCTGTTTATGGGCCGAGAAGAAGCATTGGCATGCTCAAATTCACTCAACGTAGTGATGAACATTCCTTCGACGAGGTCAAGTCCAGGATGTGGAAGGTCGTGAAGGCTGTCTCGGCACTGAAAATGCAGATCAAGAGTGCTCACGCCATGGGAGAGGAGAAGTTCTTTTGGGCGGCTTTCGTTAAAACCAAGACCGCGAGGGCGAGGTCTTCCCACATCAGCATGGTGAGGAGAGTCTGCATGCAACTTGCTGCAGATTCAAAAGATGCGGCAGGAGGGGTGCTGAACATCGATCACACCATGGTTGGCGCATATGACATGGACTGGTCAGCCGGGACTATTTGGTGCGGCATCCACAAACTTGCATCAGCGACCCATCGTTCACCGAAAGATGCCGTCACCATCACCATGAGTGGGGGGTGGATCAACCTTGATGCAGTCGGATTGATCGTGGGGGCTGACACGGACGCCGTCAAGGCGTCCTTTGAGCGTGAGCTTTGACAGGGAGAAGTTTGTTTCACCCCTCAGGAGACTGAGGAGCTTGCTGGGGAGACTTGTCGTGGACCTGATTGCCCTTCTCTTCTTAAAGCTCAACCTAAGGTTCAGCATGGGAGAGAGAAGACCTTCCGGTGTGCAAGATACCGGTGGGGGCGAGCAGGCACCTGGAACCTTGGAGGACAGAAACTTGACCTCCTCGACGTGTCTGGACACGACTTGGATCTTGTATTTGCACAGGAGATTTCACGTGATGTAGAAGGATGGGACACATTAGACACGAATTGCTTTCATTGGATCATGCATCGGCATACCAGTCACTGGAGGGGAGTTGCGATAGGCATCGCTTCTGACAAGTTGGACTGTGTCATTGACAAGAGAGCCACCAACCGTGGGATTTGGGTGCTTGCACGGGTTCAGGGAGTTGGACGAGTAGTACTTGGGAGCATCCATTGCCACACGGGAGCCACGAACGCGATCTACCAGGCCGCTGTTATCCAATTCGCCCGTTCCTGCCCTGCCAAATGGCGTCAGTATCCTCTTTTGGTCGGATCGGACGTCAACGAGGTACCTACGTGGTTTGCTGATGAAGCTGGCAAAGGATGTTTGGCAAGTGGATCAAGCAACCTCAACGAAGTCGCACATCAACTACTTGAGTTAGGGGTTCACCCGGTTCCTCCCTGTCGAAGTCAGTGGTCCTCTCCTACCCACTTTCCTCGCGACTCGACCAGAAAAGGCAGGCAGATTGACATGTTGTGGTCGAGAGGATGCAGTCTCAGTGAACCAGTTATTGAAGCTGATCGCCGTCATACTGTTGGCACTGATCATGCACTACTCATGTGTGACATCTTCACTGAAACAAAGTCGTCGCATCGCTGGGGAAATGACTCAAGGCCACGCTTCATGCAGGGCGACATTCCTAAAGTGGAGATATGTGACGTAGATGACGTTGTGCAGTTGGCAAGGAAGTGTTCGAAACCACGCACAGCTACGAGCTATCGCGACACGGAGAAGATCAAATTGGCCATTGTCCAGGCGAAGGAGCACAAGGACCCCAAAGAATGGAAAAGGGTTCATCGAGCTCGTCGCCGAGCCCGTCGTCAATGGGAACAAGATCGTCTGTCGAACATCCTAAATGGGGATTGGCTTCAGTATCGTTCTCTCCAAGCTGAAAGAACAAGGAAAAAGGGATGGTGGGGGCGAATGTTACTTGAGCGATCATCGAGGGAGAACACCGCCATGGTGCAACAGCACCTCGAGGCTAAGCTTGTCAATGAGTTTGGGGCTGATTGGGACGACTTACTGCAGAGCCAGATTGATTGCGTTCACATTGCGGGTGAGTTCGAGGACTTTTCTATGCTGGATGCTCGGGAAGTTCTTCAAGAAATGAAAGCCAACAGCGCTGTTGGTCCGGACGGGATAGGGGTGTCCTTTCTCCGCGCCGCCTTCAGTGATGACCATGTCGGTCCGCAGATTCTGAGTTTGGTGAACCACATCATTCGGAACCTGGAGCTTCCGGCACAGTGGGATAAGAACTTTCTGGCATTGTTGGCGAAATGTGACATCCCAGCTCGGCCCGGCGACTTACGCCCCATTTGCGTTAGCTCTGCCTTCCATAAGATGATCACGAAGATGGTATGTAGAAGGGCAATGCCTGTTATGCGCACCGGCTCCCGGATCTCTGGTTGTGGAAAAGGGAGACAAGCAGCGGATGTCATTGGGACCGTGGGGAGGATCCGCGATGTGACGCAGGAATGGAAGCTGGGAACTCTTCTTTGCAAGCTCGATATTTCAGGTGCTTTCGATCGAGTCGATAGGCAGAAAATCGTCGAGTTTCTAAAGGACCGACTTCGTGATCACGACCTTGATCATGAACTCAGATATTTGCTTGCGCAGCTCCGTTCTTACAGCTTAGAAGGTCACGTTCCTGGTGGGCATCCCATCTCACTTCGTCCCAACATCGGGATTAAACAGGGAGCTCCCGAGAGCGCCGAGGTGTTCGGACTTGTGATGGACGCCATTCTGACTAAGCTGACTGAGCACAAGAAGTGGCGTGACTTTGGGGCGATTTTCCCTGGACTCGATCTGCAACTGGTCTTTTACCAGGATGATATTTTCCTCGTTGAAAGAGAGTTGTCGCAGCTTGCGAAGCGCATCAACGTGCTTGAACGTTGTCTTGCACAACATGGTCTGAAGCTTGCGCCGGAGAAGACGAAAATCATTGCTTCAGCAGATTATCGTGGTGCCAGGAAAGTATTAGTTGGAGCCAACACCTTCGAAGTGTCGCCCTCCGATGAATCCATCAAGGTCTTGGGCATCTCCTTCAATTTGCAGGCTCCGGCGAGTCAGCAGGCCAAAGAACTCCTTCATCGCACAAGGACAGCCGCCGCGATCCATAGGAACCTCCTGCGTGGTCGGGCGTCCTGGGACAAAAAGGCCAATATGATCCGGACACTTGTCGAATCGCAATTTGCATGGACGGGAGGAGCTTTGCATTGGACGAGTGAAGACTTGCGGCAGGCCAACACCATTCAGCTGCACACACTTCGCAGTTCCTTTCGCATCGGCAAGAACAAGGGAGAGTCATGGCAGGAGTGGAACTCGCGAAGCCTTCGACTATGCCGAGCATGGTTGGCAGCCACCTCCCGCCCACGTTGGTCAACTAGTATACTCACACTCCAGCATACGCTGCACGGACATTGGGCTCGTCGGATTGAAACCCTTCCATCGGGCCTCTCCATCCCTTCCCTCCCTTTGAGAGCGTTAATGTGGAAATGCACTCGATGGTGGAGGAATGAACAGATGCTTAGTGACAAGGTTGGTGAACGCCATCCGGGGCGATTTTATGCCAGCAACCCCGAGCGCCAGCTGTCGGACTGTCATGGTGTCCTCTGGCAAGAATGTGCACAAGAGAGGCACCGCTGGACCCAAGAACGACAAGCCTACATCGCGATGTGGGACGTCAAATGGTGTAAAGGGCGGCAGTTGTCCATCCGCTACTAGTGTCTACCTGCTGGTGTCGTTGCAAAAGACGAATGAAGTTTGCTTTGCGAACCGAAAGTCTTTCAGTTCCCGGCTGGTGCATACTCTTTGCTTCCGTCCGGTACATGTCACAACTTGTCTACGTTTATCTGACTTCGATATTTTCAGTTCATCAGAGACCTTTGCATTCAGGCTGCGATTTGACCATCATGCTGAACGCTGAACACTTGTTTGCCTTGAAGGATGCCTTACACAGCACACTGGTTCGAAGTGCTTTTGTGGAAAACCCCTCCCGCTTTCTCTGCATCATGGCTTGCCTGCGGCTGATCATGAGGGCGACGTGGCTTTGGAGCGGCTGCTTCCTCTCCTTCGCGGTGCCCCACGATGAGAAAACACAGGATCCCAAACCGACGGGGGCGACTTCGTCCTGCCCTACGTCTTCCCCCTGGACTTCGTCTTCGGCGAATTCACATAACTCGGCGGGGGCGACATCTTCCTGCATGGCTGCATCTCCGTGCCCTACATCTTCATCCTGGCCTTCGTCTTCGGCGACTTCCTCTTGGTCCTCGGCGCCTTCTACAACACTTGGGGACGGCACACAAGATGGTGGGCAGCCTTCGACAGCGAGCTCACGATTGAGACAGTGGACCCACGCTGAGATCGCTATGGTTGCGGCTGAAGCTTGGGGAGATGTGGAATGGAATGGGACGCAGACTCGGGTATGCGCTTGGGATGAAAACATTAGCATTGCCCTCCAGGAAGAATTGTTGGAAGAAGTCGAGGAATGGCCCTGGCCGCAGGCCACTGACTGCTCTTCCCAGGCATGTGGAGCAGTTGGAGCAAGCTCGTCTTGGGAAGTTGGAGCAGTTGGTGCAAGCTCGTCCTGGGAACCAGTGCCATCGACCTCACCCTCCCCTGAAAGTCTGCCCATGCCGAATGTAGGATGCCATCTCGGCTCCATCGCGAACGCAGGGGAGGCTTCTGACACTGGAACTACAGCTGACTGGTGGGAAGCCATCCGCGACAAGAGGAACCTTCGTCGACGACCCGGCCGGCAAGGCACACACGACACACCTCTACCCGGTCTTCCCATGGAACAAACTGATGTTGCAGAGTTGGCGGGGACTATCGCCACGCCTTGCTCTCCAGCGTCCACTACCACGCCGACGACTCCGACCACGTCCAGGTTTGGGAAAGTTCGTGAAGGACGGGATCGCTGGCACCATGAGGATGGGTCTATCCGGAATAGACGGCGTGAACGACTGCTTGCGGAAGATACCCCGCACGGAAACTCGCCGCCCGGTAGTGACTCACCGCTTTCGATGAATGCAGGAGCCTCCACGACTCAGCCGTTCACTCTGACGGGGAGCTCTTCTTCCAATGAGGGTGAACCTGTCCTACAAGCGGTGACGTTCTATGGGGAGAAGTTCGGGGTTCGTGCCGATCGACTTCACCTGCAACCTCCTCACGAGGACTCCACAACGGCTGGGGAAGATACCGATGATGTCGACGATGAACATGATGGTGGTACGGGGTCGGACTCCTCGACGGGGTTCTACAAGCACGGTGAGTGGATTGCTCGACCGCGCACTCGTGAGGAGCTCAGGCGACATCAGGGTGGCAAGGGTCCTCAGAGACTCCTGAAACGACAGGAACGAATGCGCCAGTACTTCGAGGGAAACTGGAAGCCGTCTTGGTTGGTCTTGTATAAACAGGAACGTGAAGCGAGAAAAGCCGCGCGAAACCTCCCTCGCCTCCCTGAGACGACCGAGTTTGAAGGTGACACCTCCGAACACACAGCACCTGAGGACCCTGATCGGAATGACCAGACTGATCAGGACACCAAGCAGGGCGAGATGACTACGTGGAATCGAACCACTTGGTGGTCCTCATGGAATGGAGCCTCTACTTGGTCCAGCTCCTCGTGGCAATGGCCGTCTGAACCAGATGGTGAAGCACCAAGTACTACCACGTGGAATGTTTCAGCTTCTCCTGAAGCCACGCCCTTTCCAGAAGCATGGGGAGCGAACTGGGGAGGAAATTGGGGCGAACTTTGGGGTGAACCATGGCATTGGACTTCCTCGACTTCTTCTACTACCAGTCAACTTCCGCCGAACTTTGGCCTCTTTCCTGAAGTTCGCCCTGCGCCCCGGGTAGATGAGGATCATCTCATGGCCCTCAGAGACTCAGAGGTCGCCCTGCTACAGGAACATGGGGTGACAAGCGGGAACATACGACGAGTGGGAGACCTCCTACGTGCACTTGATGATCAACAAGCTCGTGGCCAAGGTCCGGAAAGCAGGTGGGCCCTCGCTCGGAACCTTGACCGGGTACACGAAGCAATGCAGGCGATGACGGCGATGGTGCACATTCTTCGTCGTCGTCTACGTCCCCGTGGAGTTTTGCCTGTTCAACGCATCCCTGCACGAGAAGAAAACCGGTGGAGGCAGTTTATGTGGGGTCGTCAATTTGGGAACATGCTGAAAGACAGCATGGAGGTCTACTTGGCAATCCCGCTACAACCTGGTGAAGGTGAACGAGAAGCAGTGTCCCCACCGTCCCAGCTGGAGACGGAGGATGATGAGGCTGTCCCGGGGAGTGAGGCTGAGAGGTCGCGCTCGCGCTCCCGGTCGCGTTCCAGAGAAGCTGCCAGCGCCACGGTGAGCCATGATCCTGTCGCAGTACATCGACCAGGAACGGATAGCGGTAGCTCTGCGGCTGGCTCTGATTGGGATAGCGAGTGGGCTCTTGACTCAGAGGGCGAATTGCAACACGTCCCACTACCCGACCCCGACCTGCCTGCCAACGGACCGCCTCCCCCACTGCCTGTGAACCTCCCGGCAGGGGTAGTCACACTTGAGCCAGTTGGGATTTGGAGGGAACCTTCCCCGGAAGCCAGTACGACGACCACATCCACCTCCTCTACCATGCCATGGTGGAACTGCGACATGAACCTCGTGCTAGATGCCACTGATGACGGATGTCTACCACAGGGGTGGTGGAATTGCGGCTCGGTCTGGCTTGATGAGCTACTGGAGACGACGGTGTCTTTGGTGCAGACGGATGCAACAGTGACACGCAACACAGGGATGCCCGCGACGAGCCCTTCGAACCCGTCCTCGAGAACAACGTTGCCTTCTGCCCCGTCGTCGATGAATGCGCCGAGCTCCTCGACTTTGTCTCCGCCGACGAGGCCTCAGGGGAGAACCAGTACGACGACGTGGCCTTCGGACGTGGTTAGGGACTGAGTGAACCGGAACCTGGTACATGGAGGCCAGGCGGACACCTTGGAGTTGATGCGAAGGATGCTGGACCGTCAGCGAAGGTTGCATCACATGGACCGTCTGCTCAGGGACGCCATCGAGGAAGCCATGTCGTGGATACAGGTACCGCTTTCGGCCGTGCCGATGAATGCTCATACGTACGAGACCAATGTTTTGGCGTCAGTCGCACAAGAAGCGGTGCATGGATCGGGCACATCGTCCACGGCTTCCTCGCATTGGGTGTCGGCCCCGTCTGTTCTCCTCCAGCCTGGTCTTCCAGACTCCACGGAAGCAGTGTCTGCAGCTCTTCCTGGCGTTGCTCCCCACACTGTTCAGGGTTACAGACGGCGAGCTTGGAGGACTCATCTACGTGCTCTTCACCAACAAGAAGGACGAACCCCTCCTGAAGGTCATTGGACTTCGGAAGCCGACCAGGACCTTTTCATGGTACAAGCCACTCCGGAAGCTACGATTCCTAACTGGCCGGAGTCAGAAACACTACCGACTTCACCGTGGACAGGAAGGCCTTCGGAAGCTCGTAGACGTGGAAGACGACCAAGGCCCCGACCGCGCCTGGTTCGTCCTGAGTTTGATCCGTTGCTTGAGATGGTGCCGGGCATGCAGGAGGACGCCACGTGGCCTGCCAACTGTGTAGGGTTGGCGACGCCTGAGCCTCCACAAGTGGAGCTTCATGTTCATCAAGGTGCTGCAGAACTACCTGGACTACCTCAACCTGCTGCCGGTGCTGAACCTTCTCTCCTTGCACATCCAGCTGTTCCAGCTCATGTCCCCGATCCAGGATCTGCTCGTGGTAGTGATTCTGGACTTCCTAGTGATGCAATGTTGTCGGAGCTAACTCGCCATGGTGACATGGAGTGTGAGGGAGATGTGCTTGGGAACAGTGAGGAGGGGTCTGATTGGTCAAGTGACAACGGGGTTCCGCTTGCTTCGTCAACCCGTGAGTCGTCGCATACTCGTGATCGCAGCCGGAGCAGAGATCCACCCTAAGGTCATCTGAGAGGGCAAGCCTGATGTTTTCTCTTTCAGCCCTGTGCAAGCCCCGTTTGTGAGGCAGGCTGTTACTCTACTTGGTGCTGCGAAGTGGAGAAAGAGCCAATGCACATTAAAAAAAAAAAAAAAAAAAAAGGGCTGTTGGACAATTTTGAGCCTCCGGGTGAAGCCCCTGCCTGAAGTCCCCCGTTGCAGCAACAGTCCCTGAAAAACAACAGGCGCAATAGTCCTTGTGGCACCTGTTGTGATCTGTTGTGGTAGTGGGTTGTTGTTCTAACCCATACGGCATAGGTCCTAAAAAAGGAAGTTCGACACCAGTCAAGCCTTGTATGTAGGCCTTCTGACATATATACGGCTGAGATGATTGACGCCTCCCCCGCATAACAACGCCCGATGCATAAATTTCCGTTAGGAGCCATATAAACCCTCGCCAAAGCTGCAACACAAACCTTGCGTCATTCCCGAAACCGCTTCACAGTGTAAGTCAGAGCTTTAGACCCTCATGGTATTATTCCTGGGTTTCGGATAGGTGCAGTGTATAGTAACGCACTCCAACATGACGGCCCTTCTAACACTCCGCCGGGAGTCGTTAAAGAAGCTTTACGTAACCCTTTTTGGAACCCTGCTGCAGGCAACTGGACGAAGCCGCTCGGCGACTCGACGCGCGCATCGAGATGGTGGCCGCGGCGGCGAGCACCTGCACCGAAGGCTCCAGGGTTTAGAGCTCTAAGGTTCCTGCACAGGCGT